CAACGCACCTACTGCTCGTTATATGCTCGCGCTGCAAGGAGAGCAGCTGATGCTATTATTGCATGCCAATATGCATTGGCTCGTTTTAAATACTCTCGAAGTAGATTGGTCTCTCAAGGCGATCCCAATTACTGTATTTCGTCATGTCGACGTTACGTCTCCTATTCCCTCCTTCAGGGAACAAGGGTTACAATAGTAACCCAGACGTTTTACATCCCAGCCTTTGGTGAGGGTCAAAACACCATGTGAGCGACTGAAAGGGAATTGAATGGGGTTGTCATTTGCTCAATGTGTTGAACATTAAACAATGCTTTGAAAATCACTCTTACAATTGCACCCTGTTCTCCATATTTCCTAACAGAAGACCAAAACAAGACTGCCATCATGTCTGAGTAAGTCTGCAAACACATCTTCGACTGGAAATAAATCACTAAATACATACAGTTCTAAACCTAAAGTGTTTAAATATTTTTCTTTTCTCCCCTAAAATCCTAACAGAAAAAAGATGACCTCAAGCCGTCGGCATAATCTCAAGGTAAATTTGGGTCTGTTCAGTTTATATTTACTAAACAGTTGTGTGTTTGGTTGCATGTATCATTTGTTCACTGTTTGTTCTAGAGTTTGATCCTGGCTATAGCCAAGGACTTGCTGGAGGCTGAGAAAAAGCAGATAGAGGAGGACAGAATTCACTATATGGAGGAGAAATGTCCTCGTCTGTCTCTGCCGAGCTCTACACAGGAATTACAGGTATATTTGCACATCTTTTAACTTTGTTTATTATTATGACAGTTTTTTTACTCTGTTGTTAAATCTGTTGTTTCCCCAATGTGGTCAGGATCTGTGCAAACAGCTTCATCAGCAGATTGATGTGGTGGACGAGGAGAGATATGACATGTCTTTAAAAGTGGCCAAAAGTGACAAAGAGGTTTTTAATCCACTGATTATTTTCTTTCATTCCTCTATCCGTTTTGATTGTTTGACTATTATCAAGTGACACTGTGCGTTTTTGTAGATTGAGGATCTGAAGATAAAGGTTCAGGACCTGATCGGTAAATTCAAGAAACCTGCTCTGAAGAAAGTGCGAATGTCTGCTGATGCCATGCTTCAGGCCCTGCTGGGCTCCAAACACAAAGTGTCCATGGACCTGAGAGCCAACCTCAAACAGGTCAAGAAAGAGGTCAAGGAGGAGGTGAGAACACACTATGACAGTCAAGAAACTAATACATGTCAAATATCATTTTTAATCTTGACATTCTTATGTGAATTACTTTAGGATAAGGAGGCAGTGGGAGACTGGCGTAAGAACATCGAGGATAAGGCTGGTATGGGTGGCAGGAAGAAGATGTTTGAATCCGAGGCTTAAACAGGCAGCTATTCCTTTTGGAGTTGACTTCTGATGGACTTTGTTGACGTTGTTGCAATTTTGCTCTCAAATAAGTGCTTTTGCGATATAAACATCCAAGAAGCAGTAATTAAGTTAATCATATTATTCAGAATGCCATGTACTAAATGAATGATACATGAACTCACCCTAACAAATAAAAATGAGAAAATTAATTCCGTCATCTGATTTAATCATCCCTCACATTACATTCCCTTCATTCTTCTTATCTATTCATTCCTCTTAAAGGTTGCATCACCAGTTTAAAAAGCCCAAAAAAGGCCCAATCATCATCCCATTGACTCACATTCATCACAATCACATTCATCTAATCTTTCCTAACAATCCACTTGCTGCCCACCCCATAAGCAAGCCGTCAAAAAAAAAAAAAAAAAAAAAAAAAAGCGTCTTATAGGCAGCCTAGGCTTTGAGATCTGCTCACAAAAACAAATGGTTTCACCAACCACTCAAAACCAAATAAATAGTGTTCTGACCACACAGGTTTCCTGAGGAACTCTTATATTAGGAACTGTGTGGAACTGTTCAGGGTGCCTCCAGGAACTGTTTTTTTTTTTTTCATGTTGTCACTATGGTTACCATTAACTTCTATTATAACTGAACCAAATAAAAAATAAGAATTGTTTATTACATATTTTACACCAATTTTAATACATACAGTACACTTCCATGCACTTACGGGGGAAAAGCTAGTAATATAAAAAAGATTAATATCAATGAATAGAATACACAAAAAAACTGTATAATACATAGGCAACATGAATAATAAACCATGTATATACAATAGGCTATGCAAGAAAAGAAAAAGCATGGAAACACGTTCCCATGTGATAAATCAATGTAAAACATGTTTGACTTTAACATTTTGACCAACCTTATTAAAAATGTGCATCTTAACTTAAATTGTTAAAGTCAAAAATGTTGAGTAGCCTAACCAGTAACAGCTCATATTTAGCCAGTGAAATTTTTACTACCCTATTAGAAAAAAATATGTAGTTTCATGTGGTTCTTCTCCCTCGCTCTATTATAGGACGATCAGCTGATTACTATTATCATATTATATATTAAGACCCATGATACTTACCTGACTATGGCTTAAACTTTATCCATGATGTGGTATAATGGACTGTGGTACAGAAACAGTGACAATGTTACAAACTCCTGGCTTACTCTGGCTATTCTCTGCTGTCTCAGACAACGATATGTTTGTCATGTTTTAGCCACCACTTCTTCGAAAGGGAGGGTTGAATTGCAACTCACAACAAAACCGCTAGATGCCGCTTTAAATCACACTGCACCTTTAAGGAAGATTTTTAGAGAATAACTGATTAAAAAAACACAAGTACAAAGTCAAAAATTCACACAGAAAAGTTCATAATAATAAAGTACTTGCATATGGTGCAGCCGGATAGATGTAAACTAAACTGATGCAATTTAAACTGATGTAAACAGTAGAAAAGAGAGTAGAAAAGACTTGTCATGTCACCCCTCTATGGTGGACAGAATTAAGTATTATGGCCTTCTTTGCTTAGATAATGCAAGTCAATGGGATTTTTTGGGAAAGTAAGTCTGACCAGTTAGAAAAGCAAGTCAGACCAGTCTGGAGTCAATCTCATGATAATAATAATGTTTAAACTCAGAGTGTTATGAACCGCTCCAAGACATGAAGGTTAAGGATCCAAATGCAGTTTATTAAAGTAAATTAAAATTAGAATCAGGGCAAAGGTCATACACTGGCAGGCAATCCAAATAAACACACAAATCCAGAGGGTGAGGCAGGAACGGGAAAACCAGGACACGACGGGCAGAGATCAAGAACCAGTGTAGAGTATCTCCAGACGTTTTTGGGGAATTTGTATACAATTGTATTCAATAATTGATAATTAATATTCATACAGGTTTGGACCAGATCAACTGTACATTTTATTAAATCTCCTGAGAAGGGGTATGTTGCATCTGCATTCATGTGTACCTCGACAATTAACCACAAGGATTATAATTAATTGCATATATCACGTTTTACAGACAGATTAAATTATCTCAATTGTATATCAATACTTAATCAAAATGGATTATAGTTAAACAACATTAATATATCACTTAGGTCTATCATATGTTTACTCCGACGATATCACTGTGAATGAATTTGTGATCTGACGATCTGTTTGTCCAGCAAGCCTCAAGGCAACGTTGTGCGATAAGAGGTACTTTTCAAGGATGTTTTGTACAATACTTTACAATGGCAAATAATGAGTTATAACAAGAAGGAAAGATGCAGGGTTCCTGGATAAACAGGAACACCCAAAGTCACCAAAGTGACACCAACCGAAAGGAACCATAAACTGTTCCCACAAAGTTGGGAGCATGACATTGTCATTAGGAGTTCCTTTCACTGGACCTAAGGGGGCCAAACTCAACCCCTGAAAAACAACCCCACACCATAATCCCCCCTCCACAAAACTTTACACTTGTCACAATGCAGTCAGGCAAGTACCATTCTCCTGGCAATCGCCAAACCCAGACTCGTCCATGAGATCGCCAGACAGAGAAGCATGATTCGTCACTCCAGAGAACACGTCTCCACTGCTGTGGCGCACTGTTATGAATGCACTTCTATGGAAGACTATTTAATCCATTAATGTTTTGACATTATTCTCGAAATGTTTCGACTTTTTCTCGAAACATTTCGACTTTAATCTCGAAATTTTTCAACTTTAATCTCGAAACATTTCGACTTAATCGCAAAATGCTAGATTTTTTAAAAAATAATATAGCCTACTGAAGAGGGGGAGAAAAAAATCTAAAAATTCGATTTTTTAAAAATATTAATGATTTGACCTACCAACTCGATTTTTTAAATCAAATCGATTTTTTTTCTTCTTTCTGTTTTAATCTGTTTGTTCTGTGATGTTGACCTGATAATAAAGCTGGCTTCTGACTATTTTACAAATTTTTACTTGAACCGTGAAACTTTGCAGAAACTTACATAAATCTATTAATAGTAATGTTAACTATTAGGCCACTTAAACAATAAAATCTTTTCCAACATACCAACATGCCAAGTGTTGAATAAAAGTTTAGGTATAATGACAATTACAAAACACTTGTGAGGTTTATATGCAGAATGTGCTGAGCGATATTCCTGTGCAATACAATTAGAGTTGCCACCTGTTGAACTCTGTTGCTAGAGCACAACAGGTGAGAAATCCAAAGATTTCAGTGACAAAATTGATAGCAAGGAATCAATCTCATTCTTAATTTCTCTCATTTACACACAATAAAGGCCTAAGTGAAAGTGTTTTATTTCTGCTTGTTGCAGGGTGGGACAGGTAAAGCTGTGTGTTTGTACTAGAGCAGGTTATAATCATACATACATTGTTGGGACCAGAAATGTCCCCAAAGGACAGATAAAACGGAAATCACCTACATTGTGGAGATCATTACATACAAAATGATTTTTGATTAAAAATAATAAGAAGGTAAATTATGTAAGAGGGTAAAGCATCATTAGCTCAATGTAGAAACAATAGAACTCAATAGAACATCCACATGATATAATTATAGAAAAACAATTGTGTGTGTGTGTGTGTGTGTGGGTGGGTGTGTGTGTGTTTCTTGTGGGGGAAGGGAGGACAGAGTCCCATTGGCTTAAGGAAAGATTTGTTTCCTTAAAGAGAATGGAGAAGCTGTATGGAAAGCCTATATAAACTCAACTAGCTGACACTCTTTTCCTCTAATTTCATTTAAAGGTTCTGCTGCACACTGTAAGGTGAGTCTATTATTCTGTCCATATCTATAGTTTGCGCTCTAATATTTGAGCATGCCAAAGACCTTCAAAACATCTCACTCGTGCTGAGCTGACACACAGCCAAGAAATCAGATCAATAAGCTCGAAAATATGCTTTAATGATAAAACAGTGGCTGTTGCCTAAAATCATATTGTGCTGTTTTTGTTATTGTAGAGGTTATGAATATGTTTTGATGTGTTCTTTATCAGTTTTTGTCAGTTTTAAATTTTAAATGCCTTGTTTTTTCAAATGCTCAAAATGTTCAGTTTATAAGCTCTGATTTATATCATTAAGCGCATGCAGAAAGTTGCATATTTCCTGACTTAGTTTATCAGCATTATTCATACATTTAAAGCATGCACTTTTAAAAAAATAAAGGTATTTATTACCATAACATTCATGGAACCTTTCCATTACACAAAAAACACTGTTCACTGTTCATTACACTGTTCTTTTGTGAGACCATGAAAGTGTTGGTCATAGACCAACACTTTCTATGAAGCCATGAATAACAATGAATTATCGCTCCATTCATACTTAATTGAGTATCATAACTCATTAAGACCTATTCTGCATTATAAGAACAGTTATAGTTACATTTATATTATTTTTTATAATTACTTGTGTCATGTATTTGGTTTTTCAATGTGCATGCTCATAATCCATTATACACTGATTTATAAATATTAATTAGCCAGTTATATGGTTCCATGAATGTATATAAATGAAGATGCAACCTGCATTGCTGTAATGTTATTATATTATAGTTACAATGAATTTTAGTAATTTATTTCTGTCAAATAAGTTAATATTGTCATTAATAGCTGTGTTGTGTTCTTATAAATACTTATTTTGAGTGATAATACAGTTATACAGTTATAAATACTTTTTGTGAGTGATAATACAGTTATACTTATTGTGAGTGACAATACAGTCATTGATGACTTTAAGTAAAGTGAAAACATAGGAAGCAATTTTATTAAAGCAAATGTTAAGAAATCATGAAGATGTGATAATTGTACATTTAAGTTTATTTGGATTTGTAAAATAAGGGGGGGGGGTGATATATCAAACTGCTTAAAGCAATGCATATGGCTGAGGAGAAATAGATGTTAAATTATCATCAAAATGACCATTCATGACCTCTAATAAAAACATTAGCCATTAAAGACAAAATAAATAATTGATAACTACATGTAATTGGTACAGCAAAACAAGTGTATCTGGAACTATTTTATATTTGATCATTTATAAATCAAGTGTATAATGGATTATGAGCATGCACATTGAAAAAGCAAATGCATGACTTATGTAATTACATTGTAAAAAAATATTTTCAAGATTTGTTATCACAACATTTTTTCTTTTGTCAAATCAACTTAAATAATTTATTTACTTGAGATAACTTATTATTTTGAGTTTCTGGTGATTAAATCAATCTCCTTCATTGTATTAACTCAATTTTTCCAGTTCAATCAACTTAAAATTTTAAGGCAACCAGGTTACTTCATTTTTTAAGTTAAACCAACGATATTTTTTTTTACAGTGAAATGTAAGACACCTAAACTAAACTATAAAACTGCTAGGTCTTAATGAGACTTTATAAATATATTTATTTAATAGTAATACTTACTTATAAATATGGCTTTAATTCATTATACGCGTGGGCTTCATAGAAAGTGTTACCAAAAATTCTTTTAATAACTAAAAGGTTTTGCGGAACTAAAAATGGTTCTTGATTCTTCTAAAACCCCTTTTGGAACCTTCATTTTGACATATTACCTTCAAACACATGATGAAATTAGTATGGAGCTACTCATTTTAGAAAATTCAGTCCATGTCCAATCCAATATCTTTTTTTGGCAGGAAAGGTATAGAACTAAAATAGTTCTTCAGACTAGCTGAGTATTTTTACAGTTGTGCAGGGTTTCAGCTGTTAGGGGTTGAAGCTGTGGAGATTCTTCAAGAGGCAGCAATTTGTCTGTCAGCTGTCTCGTCTTCTGAATTGGGTGCAGACCCCCTACTTCCAACAAAGGAACACTAAAACAATAAGAGAGCACAAGACAACTGCTTCTCAAATTCAAACCCTTAAACATCAAACACTTCTTTGGGTTTTGACACACACCCATGTACATCATCCGTCTCTCACATTATCCCAAGCCAAATTTAGACCTGCTGCAGGGCCAGTGACTGAATATAAATTGTTTCCATTAGATTGAAGGCTGCAACACCACCTCCTGCAACCAACAGGCATCTTCACTTTCAAAGGCAGCGCCACAAAGAGACCGGCAAGATGTCCGAGTATGTATTGAGTTACGACATCATGATCTAACTCATCGTCCTCGATCACTGAACTCATAAAAAACATTTAGTGCCAAGCTCCAATCAGCTCTTTTTTGTATTTACTATACAGACTTGTATACATGCCTAAATAATATTATATTACTGTATCATCAAAAGCACAATGCTTTTACATCACTTGGTTATAATCATTGCATCGCAGTCGCTGAATGATGTACTGTTCTGTGCTCTCTGAAATTGTAAACATTTGTTTCTGATAGGAAAAAGATGACATCCAGCCGTAAGAACCATCTGAAGGTAACGCCATCTCTTTCTTCATGAGATCTGGGCTTTTTGAACTGTCAGTGAATCTCTTTTTAATTACAGTCTATGCCTCTTCTCGTCTTTCTTCTCCAGAGCTTGTTGCTTCAGATCGCTCATGGGCTTTTGGAGGATGAGGCAGCTGAGAAGGAGCAAGAAAAACAGCGATACATGGAAGAGAACTGTCCTACTCCTTCACTGCCTGGATGCATGCAGGATCTACAGGTACAGAGAGAGAGACAGAGACAGCGAAAGAACAGAACTTAAGAACAGTTTTATACAGTCTAAATGCCAATTCACACTGCACCAACAGGTGTCGACCAACGTTAACAATGACCAGATTACAGTACGCTACTTCTCAGACTTTACACAATCCAACAAGCGCCAATTGAACAAGCTAACACAATCTCATCCCAATATAACTGACGTCTTTTGACCATACGTCAATATCCGCCTTTTTAGGGTACCCTTAAACGTCGGTTAGATGACGTTATCGGATCCTAACACTACCCTAGACCTAAACCTACCCCTAAACCTACCCCGTCACCTAACTGATGTTAAAGGTAAAGCGTCAGTTGTATGACGGCCCGGAATCGTCAACTAACCGACGTTTAAGGGTACCCTAAAAAGGCGGATGTTGCACCGACCAACGGCGACAGACGCCAACAGGAGTAACACACTGATTTGGCAAAAACTGACAAAGCGTCTATTGAGTTAGACCCTTTCCTGGGACATCATATATTGTTGATTCTGGAACAACGTTCATGTCCGAAAATGTTATCTTAAGCATTTAATCCCTACACTTAATCTTAACCCCACCCAGAAATGTTCCCTAAAATCAGAGTAAATTGATTGATAAATAACACTCATGTAGAAGCACCCAACCCTGGTTGTAAAATTTGATTGGTTGATTGGAATGTTCAATATCTTTGTTGATCCTGATAAGTTAATTGTGTACTTGGTGAAATCGGTTCTGCCCATTGGGTTTATGCTAATGCAAGTGCATGTGAATTGACCTGAAAAGCACACCATCGTATTCATTTACAGGTATTGATGAGCAAATATGAATAAAATTTGTGGCAAAAATTGGCATGTGTCTGTGTGTAAAGGAACTGTGTAGGAAGTTGCACCAGCAGATAGATGCCATTGATGAACAAAGATACGATATGGAGACCAAAGTGGCCAAGTCAAACAAGGAGGTACTTCTTGATTGTTCTGTTCTACTTATAGAAATGTATTTAACTTATGTAACTTCTAAAACTTAAACTTTTTTCCTGATCACTTGAGATTGAGGATCTGAAGATAAAGGTTCAGGACCTGAACGGTAAATTCAAGAAACCTGTTCTGAAGAGAGTGCGAATGTCTGCTGATGCCATGCTTCAGGCCCTGCTGGGCTCCAAACACAAAGTGTCCATGGACCTGAGAGCCAACCTCAAACAGGTCAAGAAAGAGGTCAAGGAGGAGGTGAGCACACACTACTAGCCTTTTAACAGAAACGTGTGCAATAAAATGTGGGCATAACTCACACTTTGTCAATGAATGACAAAGAAGAAGAAAAAATCTATATGCTAATAATGATGAAAAAAGTGATTTAAATGAGAAGGCTTGTACTGAAACGTTGTGCTTTTTCTGCTGCTACAGGAAGAGGCGGTGGGAGACTGGCGTAAGAACATTGAGGATAAGACTGGTATGGATGGCAGGAAGAAGATGTTTGAGACTGAGGCCTAAATTTGTTTTTCTAAAATTTCTATTCAATGATCTGTTCGGTTAGGTCAGGGGTACCCAACCCTGCTCGTGTCGATCAACTGTCCTAGTTTATCTCCAACTCTAATCAAACACACCTGAAGTAACCAATCTAGGTCTTCAGGTTCACTTGAAAAATAAGGCACCCCTGGGGTTAGGTTGTCTTAATTCTTGAGGTCTTCAGTGTTATGAAAGATAAAAAGCGGTAATGTTCTCTATCGTGTGAAGTGATGTTATAGCTATTTAGAGTAATATATGAAGCATGATTTTGATGTATGTGATTGTTGGTGTTGTAGCTGAGGCTTTAAATTGATAATAAATAAATAAATAATCTGACTTTGCCCTTTTGCAATTTCAAAAGATGCTCTATTGGATTGAGAACTGGTGACTGTGAATGCCATTTAGTGAACTCATTGTCATGTTCAAAAATCCAGTTTGAGATGATTTGAACTTTGTGACATGGTGTGTTATCCTGCAGGAAGTCGCCATCAGAAGATGTGCACTGTGGTCATAAAGGGATGGTTATGGTCAGCAACAATACTTAGGTAGCTGTGGCATTTAAACTATACCCCATGGGTACTAATGGCATGGGGCTCAAAGTGTGCCAATAAAATTTCATCACCACACCATTTCATTACCACCATCAGTTGATACAAAGCGGGGTGGATCCATGTTTTCATGTTGTTTACAGCAAATTTATGCTCAGTTTTTGCCCTGTTAGTGCATTTTTTATTGCCCAATTTTGGTGAGCCCATGCGAATTGTAGCCTCAGTTTCCTGTTCTTGTCTTTTAGAAGTGGTACCCAGTATGATCTTCTGCTGCTGCAACAGCTTCAATGTTCGAAGTGTTGTGTGTTCAGAGATGCTCTTCTGCTGACCTTGGTTGTAATGAGGTTTACTTTCTATCAGTTTGAATTTTAACTAGTCTGACCTCTGACATCAACAAGGCATTATTTTCCCCATTCTGATGCACAGTTTGGTGGTGGTTAATGAGATTCCTCCTTCCATGTAAAGCGCTTTCAGTACCCAGAAAAAGTGCTATATAAATGTAATGAATTATAATTATTATTAATAATATTCTGTTGAAAGTACATTGTTGAAGATTACACTTGTAAATGTAATTTTAATGTCCAAAGGTAAAGGGGTGAGTAGAATAATGTAATCTCATTATACCCAGGCCTATTTGCTTTCATAGAGCAAGCCTTTCACTATTTGTTTACAGCTTAAAGGGATACTCCACACTTTTTTTTGGAAATAAGCTCATTTTACAACTCCCCCAGAGTTAAACAGTCTCAGTCGAGACCAGAAACTGTCTGGTTACTGGTTTCTTCTAAATATCAGAAAATCGGCTGAATGCATTTGAAAACGGTGAAACTCAACTGTTTAACTCTGGGGGAGTTGTAAAATGAGCCTCTTTCCAAATAAAGTGGAGTAGCCTATCCCTTTACATAACTATACACACATTCAGTGTGTCCACGGGCGCGAAGCGAGCGTTTTAAATTAATTTCTATGGAATTTGAACTTCCCACTCGCGCAGTAAATTTTGGGATTGACAGTGGACCAGAGAAAGCGTTGAGAGCGTCAAAAGGTTGGGTTCTCAACTTTATGCAAATATCATCCGAAAAACACGGTCAGCAGTCAATTGCTGTGAGCTTCAGGATGTAAATTGAGAGTTTAAAAATATGCAAATTGTGCCAGAGTTTATCCTGGATTTAGTGCGTAAATCATTTTGTTTAGGGGTTATATCGCCTGTATAGGCTATTTCATTTTGAATGTGTTCATACTGGCTGGGTTATGTTTAGAATCGTGTTAAGCAGATTAGAACATTAGAACAAAATACATTTATAAGAATTGCCTGGTTAGGGTTTAGAACTGATTATGGAGTTCTTCATAAAATGGCAGCTTGGTTATTTTTCGTGGTCATTTCGTACTAATGTATTCAAATTTACAGTAACATGTCCCAAAATAGGCTACATGAAGAGTATCATAGGCTATTGTACACATCTTATAGTAGAATATCTAGAATAGGACACGACAAACTCTTTCAAAATTCAAATGTGCTCTCATGCACACCCAACTGAATTAGTTAATGGTCACCCAGTGCTACATTTTTTTATTATTTTTTTTTTTTTCATGTAAGAATAACAAAATAGGCTAGCAATTTTACCCGTGGAACTGTGTGTGGTGTTTTTCGCGGTCAATTTGCACTGCTGTATTTAACAGTAACTGATAATTTCCCAGAATGCATTGAAATTCTACAGTAACATTCACTGAAAAAAAATATTTTTGGGTAAGGTAAATATTACTGAAAAAAACCCCAATGTAATTTACAAGAAAAAGTTAGTTTAGGCAAGAATTTAAAAAAAAACTAAGTAAATTCCATATCAGTACTTAGTTCAAGCGAGTAGAAATGAAAACATAAATATGAACTCAATAAAATAAAGTAAAATTTACTCAACTTTTCTGATACTGGGGTTCCCATCATGCACTGTACCTTGAATAATTAATGAGGTTCATTTTTCACTGGTTTCCAGCTGTATTTACACTGTTTTATCTTTGCTTTTGTTGTCAGGATTAGTAACTTGCCATTTTGTGACATTTTGAGGAAATTTTCTGCTCAAAATGACACATTCAAACACAAAAACGATCCATCAAATGTTACCGTCATTGTGTATTGTCTACCAAGTATTGAGGTCTTTGCATTCACATCATGCTTAAAATCTGACATGATGATGTATAAATTACTTAGATAGGCTAAGTAAAACACACACTATAAATGACAGGTATAATTTAATAAAGTTTTTTGAGTGAAATGTAATGCAAAGGAAATTACAACTAAATTGATATTAATCAACCTTTTACTAGCCAAGTTACTTATATTCTTTGTTACTTTCATTTAACTAAATTAAAGTTGACTTAATTCCATATTCTAAGCAAATTTTAACTTAAGATTTCTAATTACAGCTACTGATAAATATGTTTAGGTTTTTACTTGGCAAATGTTTGTAAATTTACTAGCATTTTATGAGTGGAAAAAGTTGCCAAGCTTTTTTCAAGTAAATCCTGTGTGTGTGTGTGTGTGTGTGTGTGTGCGCGTGCGTGCGTGCGTGCGTGCGTGCGTGTGTGTGTGTGTGTGTGTGTGTCTTGGTGAGTGGGTGGTATCATTTTACTCTCTCAGGGGATCATCACATGACTGGTTAGCTTTCTGCTGATTGGAAGAGAGAACTGGAAAAGACAGGAGAGAGTTTCAAAGCTCTGAATGAAAAACACATGGAGAGAGACAGAGGAAGGGAGTGAGTGGAACAGAGAGAGAGAGAGAGAGAGAGAAAGAGATTGACTAAATCCTGCTCAGTGAAAGAGGGGGAGCACATTCACACCCTTTAGGGGACTCACAGGAAAGGAGCGAGAATCAGAAAACCAGTCAGATATTGTATTCAGTCAGTTAAAGAGAAACATGTCCAACTCAATCCTGCGAAGACATTCCAGCAAAAAGGGATTAGATAACCTCAAGAGGTAAGATGTTCTTCATTTGTGTGTGTGTGTGTGTGTGTGTGTGTGTGTGTCCAGCCATTTGGTCAGAGGTGTAGACTTTGATCTACAGAGTCACACTAGGTTATTTTTTATTTTTATTTATTTATTTGCCTCTAAATGGAGTATGCTGCAGTTCATTCAATCCTGTTTTATGATCTTGACTTTTATAAGCTAAACTTTTAAACTCTTATGCTGATAGTAAATGATCTGTTTATCTAAAAGTGCTGGCTAACATCAGACTGTCAATAGGACAGTTAATCAGGCAGGACAGTGGGGTCAAGAGGGGGAAACAGAGCATGAGTTCTTCTGCTATTTATCAGTTCTTCAGTGTGTTGAGGGGGAAGGGTTAAAATTATTGTCAGTTGTTTTGCGATGTCTCTGTATTTCATACAAATATTATAGTCAAAGAGTTCATGGATGCAGATGCAGTGAGACCCAAATCATCTGGGCTTCCCAGGTGTTTTGAGGGTAGATTATTGTGTTGTTATATAGTTTTGAGTGATGTCATGAAATGATAACGTGTCTGTCCTTGAGGAGGTGTCTGTAGTTAAAGTAAAATCTGTCCCAACACTGTCCTATGTGGCTGCTGTTCACACGGCACATGGTGAGTCAATTCATGACATCATTATGGACTGTCAATGACAGGCTTCAATAGCTTCTTTTATTACTGGAATTTTCCTGAGAGTGGTGACATCATCAGATAACCCCCTTCTCTAAATCTGCTGGATACAGAGCAGCCCCCACCCACTCTGCCCTTAGGACCTGGAGATCCTAAACTGTGCAGGAAAATTTGAGCCGTTTTACCACCCAACCACTCACACTGGGTTAGGTTTATTAAACAAAGGAAATAGTGCAGTTATTATTGATGTATAGGTTTAGGCTATATCTGCTTTAATACCCTACTATGTTCATTTACTCTCTCAATATGCTATGTTTTCATTAAAATTTGTAAGCAGAATGTGAGTAGTTGAACAGTTTGACTAACTACTCTGTTTTTAACTATAATAGTCTAGAGATGCATGTGTTTTTCTTCTTCATAACAATATGATCATGGAATTAGGATTTACTTACAGTAACTACTTTTCACTTGGAGAAGGACATAATGTTTGTTTGATAAGCACAGTAGATAAATAGAGTTAAAATAAATACAGTTGCAATGAGAACACCTTGGTTGCTTATTTAGGACAGGTTGAAGACAGTATTATCAATCAGTGCATCAGTTCCCAGAGTTGTGTCGTGTATTAGCAGGAGAGACTTCAGGAAAACTTGTGATTTAATGGGTGATTGTTGGAAAACTGCCTGGCAATCACACACCTCTGCACAATTATTGTAAATATTTAGTAAAAGGTGTTGTTCCCATTGTTTTGTTTAGTTCCTGTAATGTCAGCCCCCATAAAGGAAGCCAGTGAGCCATTTCCTGTCAGTGTGAACCCTGCACTTCCTGTCCATGTTTAACTTACTTCCTGTCCATCTCTGACCATACCCTCTGTCAGATGACCCCTATCATTGTCATAGTAAAAATGATGCACTTGTTCTGAAGATGTATATCAACTTCTGTTTATAACACAAATGTAGCTTTCTTGATTTAGTTATCATAATTTTTAGTAATTATGTTTTAAAAACATAGTAATTGTGACTGTGTACTTATTATTATTCATTTGTCATTATTTGTTCCATTGGTTTTGTGTATATAGGATCACTGTGCAGCGCAGTCTGGAGGATGCAGAAGAAATCGAGAGAGAACGACGACGGCGTGCAAGAGCCAGTACCTCTACTGAGGCTTCTCTGGACAACCAGTTAGTTTCAAAAACCTAAAACCATACTCCAGTTTTCATCAAATACTTAAAAGAAACTGTGTTGTGTGGATTTGTTTTGTTTCCATGGAATCCCAACCCCCAGATTGTGGCTCAAGCCAACTTTCTCTGTCTTAGTCATTGTGTTGTGTTAATCTGTTTGTCAGTTTGTATGTGTATATGTGACAAGACCACACCTGTTCTTCTGATTCAATTGCAGAGTCTTTTATTCAATTCTATTCTATTCTGTTCTATATTCTATTCTATAACAGACTCAACTGTTGTAAGTAGACTAGTTCTTGTATTGGTAACTTAGTGAGAGGCAATTCTGAAAGTGTCTCACTGTTTGTTAGGAGTCAGAATGATGTGGTTTCAAACTCTCCTCCATCCTCGTTGGAAGAGGACGAAGGATTCAGTGATTGGACACTTCTGAGCAGGCGCAAAGAGGAACAAATGGAACATAAAGCTGTAAAAACACATCTCAACGGCTCTCATCCCTCAAAACTACAGCTCTGTTCCAGCTCTGCTCAACATGGTAAACAGCGTGATTTAAACGTGTTTGACAGCACCCCGTTTATACAGACTCGACCCCCCTTTTCAAATCAGCAAAACCTGGATGAGGATGGTAATGATGAATGGCAGGAAAGAATGGCTAATAAGGCAGCAGAGAGGGAGGAGGGAGAGATCAGACGGTGGTGTGCCGAGGAGGATGATCCGAGAAGGATGAAAGGTCATGAATCATCTTTACGGAAGAAACAAAATCAGAGCTGTAATATGGATGAGAAGGTACAATATTTAAGAAGACATTTAACCTTAACTCAGTCATGCATCAAAATCAGTCTTTCAAAGGTGCTTGCTGTAAGCGCTTCATGTAGCGAACATACAAACTTCTTATTCTTTTTTCTTTTTCATAGAGAGACAAAAAGGTAGAGATGAAGATATCCTACACCTCCACAGTCCTCCTCCAACAGAATGGGAGACAGTACAGCACAAATGGACAAGAGGGGAGGAGAATAAAGGACAGGTACAGGCGTAGACAGGCACAAACTTCACAACAATACAGCTCAGTTTGTAAAATTATTTTCATTCATGCCATTATTTTCAGAGCCTCATTCTCCTCAGAGGTCATTCTTGTTATGGAGCACTTCTTCAGCTTTTAAAGCTAAAGTTTCCAGGATGGAAACAAATATCTAGGGCAACTTGAACTTTAATCATTTTAAACTGAGCTCTAAATGACATTTTGGGACGAGCTTGTTCATCTGATCCTGTCAATCAAAATTTTAGAGCAATTTGAACTTTAATAATTTTTAAACTGAGTGCTAAATGACATTTTGGGACGAGCTTGTTCATCTAACCCTGTAAATTACAATTTTAAAGCAATTTGTGACTGCTGATCCCACTCGTCATTGTTATGAAAAATCAACTTACATGCTGTATGGAGACATAGCTGTGCAGGAGAACAGTTTGAAAACAGTGTGCCAATGATTGGGCAGCAATCGGTGTTGAGAAATGACATGATACAATCACAAGTTTCACAACTTCCCCAGAACTAATGTCCTTCCTGAGTACACTGCTTTTAATCTTACTCAGAGAAGTAAAGATAGAGAGTAACATGGACACTGTCGATTCAACAGCTCTCAGCAGTCCAGAGAGGTAAAAACAAAAATAAATGCATTGTAGGTAGAATACTTTTTTCATTTCCCTTTTTCAATCTTCTTGTGTTTAGTGTGTCGGAGGAAGTGTTTGTGAATAACAGTGAAGAGAACCAGCAGCACAGAGAAACAGAGGATCAGACTCATGAGGAGGTGCAGAGGAGGATGAGAGAGGAGGAGAGAGAGAGGAAGAGGAGGGATGTGATGGAGAAGTTAAAGAGGTTGAGTATATCCAGCGGAGATCCAGAGGAGCCTTTCAGTCCTCTCAGCCCCAGGAGCCCATCCTACATGGTATGACATCATCACCATCAGACACCTCACTCCTCAAAATGACATTATAATTAAAGATTTGTTACTTATATAAACACACATGCTTGTTAAACAGTATTTAAATTAACATTAACACCGTTTTTAATTGCTGATGACCTGGCATCATTATTTAAATCACATTATACCATGGTCTGAGTGAATACTCGATTCTGATTGGCTGCAGGGTGTCCATTAAAAAGTGATAGAGGACACCCAGTAAAGGAGTTCTGGTGTAACCAGGGAAACCAAGTTGTTGTTTGCAGTACAAATACTTCGTTACTTTACTTAAGTACATTTTTCACGTATCTGTACTTTACTTAAGTAGAATAAATAGTGCCTACTTTTTACTTTTACTTCGTTACATTTTGCAGCAATTATTATACTTTCTACTCCACTACATTTCTACAACTTCTGTTACATTTTACATGTTCTGATCAGTTTTTCCCAGCCAAAACGTCATCTGACCGTCCGTTCGTTGCACGTTTGTCTCTCCAGTGACGTTTGGTTGCCATAGATACAGTATATCAACCCGGTCACACTAAATGCGTCTCACACGCAGTGTGTTTATCATGCAACTCATACGCGAAAATTTGTTTTTTACGTCTATAGGAAACACACCATGTGTAATATATGTTTGGTTTGGTTAGGATTATGGCAAGCCAAGAGGTTCAGAATTAAACCATAAATGAATCGCATTTACTGCCAAACATAGTTATTAACATATAGTAAGGATAAGCATGATATTGCCTAATTGCAAGCTTGTTTCAGAAATGGTGACATTTTTTTCCATCATTATTGAACATCATTATAGGAGTAGGCTATTAGGTTGAATGAGTTAGAATTAAATGTTTTATTAATCATTAGGAAATAGACATTAAGATAATAAATTGTTATGCAAGTACTTTTACTTTTAATACTTAAAGTACATTTAAAATAAAGTACTTTTTACTTTTTACTTAAGTATGGTTGTCATTGTGTTACTTCTACTTTTACTAAAGTAAATATTTATCTGGGTATTTGTACTTTTACTTAAGTACTGAGATTCAGTACTTCCTCCACCACTGGTTGTTTGTAAAAGTTCTTTGACTTTAATGCACACCAGATGTGATTATCCTGCTTATGATCACTTGCAAGCAAGGTCGAGGTAAAGCTGTCATTGATGTTCATAGGCTCGTGATGGAGCAAGTATGTTATACAACCACGTATTAAGTATTAAACCTTCTTAAACCTAAAGCTTAGTAAAATTGTGAAAGGGACATCTCATTGTAAAAAAAAACCTGTCTAGGCACAATATGATTCTCACTATTTGCTTATCAATGGGTATCTGAACGAATGTTCTTCAGAATATTACCTCAGAAAACACTGAGCTACACAAATACAATGGCTGGTGAAGGAAAAAACAACAAGAACACCATAACTCAATTTCCTCTTTTTGTATTATGGGAAACTCACTAACAGTTGAACAGCAAAGAGCATATATGAAAATAAAACACAAAGTGAATAAGGAAAAAACCCCAAGTAATAAAGTCAATAGTCTCTGATAACCTGAGTGCACTCGTTTAGTTCTGTTCTTTTAGCAGGCCTGCATTAATCGTTGGCGCGCTTAACGTTGGAGCTCATAAAGTGGAAAAAACAACAACAATACCTCCTCGAGTAAAGTGAAAGACAGATCCCACCGAGTCTGGAACTTTCTCTCTCCTCAAGCGACAGCGTCTGCGGCGGCAGTGCGAGGGTTAAACTTCGTCCGTCCAGCGCTCATAATCAAACGGTCTCCAGTCACTTGCATCAGCCAGCGAAACTCTTCCCGATGTAGTCTCCCCTCATTCAGCAATCGAACGATGTGTCTGCGGTCCTTTCCACGACGATGTCACAATCTTGCAAAAACCCGAGCTAATTTAATCGGAGAGGCAAACAGTTCCAAACTCACTCGACAGTGCAAAACACACATCTTCTGTAGTGGGTCACAGTTTCACAGGCACAAACCCCTCTCCCGAGAGCGTGATGTGCGGTAAACAAATTATAGTCCAACGTAAAGCATTTAGTCCACTCAAAGCCTATAATGCACTAAACTCTCTGTTTAGCAGACTAGCCCTCGTGCGCCATCAGGTTTTTTCAACTTCCCGTCTTTTCTCGTTCTCCTCTCTCGCGGGATTTCACATAGTTCAATAACCTTTTCAAATCACTAAATCGCTAATATTAACAGATTGATTAATGAGCTTCTCTTATGTAATGAACCATCCTTAAAACATTTTTAAAGAAAACACAACTGTTAAATTACCAGGCACATCTGAACAGCACAGGGTATAATTAAATGATAAATCTTCTTGCATTAAACCTTTATGAAACAACATACAATAACCCACATATATTTCAGAAATAAACAAAATAAAAAAAAGACTGATAATGATCAGGTCATTACATTTGCACCACAAAATTTGAATCAATAGATAAAAATAACAGTAGTCCTCGTTAGTTATTTTAATATCTGTTAGAATATCTGTGAAATAAAGTAGCGTGGAAAGATTACATTTATTTAAATGAATATGAGAAAGATGTGCATGCGAATTGAGTCTGTCCAGCAGCTCTATAGCTGTGAGTTTAATTACTTCAAAACAGTGACATTATCACCTCTTTGCTGAAAAAGATAACAAAGCTTTCAGTAGCATATTTTATTTGTAAAATGAATGGGCCAGTGGCTGAAAATAAGTTCATGCGCTCCTAAATGTTTCTGTGTGCATGTGCAATCTTTTACCTATAATAATATATAAAGTTTCAGCCTAAATAAAAGAAGCTCTGAGACTTTTTGCACATCTGCTTCATATTACAACCAGAGAAGTTATCTTTGTGGGTAAATGTGTTTTCCTCACCTTGTGGTTGGTTGGACAGAGGAGGAACAGAACAAAACTGCACATGCGCATTGGCTGGACCAACTGGAAATATAGGTTTTAAATGCTATATTTGAGCATGAGAAGCAAAATTTATGGGACAGTGTGTGTCCAATTTTTTATTTTTATTTATTAATATTTTATTTGAAATATTTTATTTAAATGTAAGTTTTGCCAGCAGTTTTTGTTATTCTTGCATGCCTAAAAATATGATGCAAATATGGCCATCAAGTGAACTTTATTTGAAAGAGATTATTAGAATCTTCTAGTCAGTTAGTTGGAGCTAAAGTCTGAAGAAATGTGGCCATCTATGAACAATATTGGACAAACTGCAGAGACTGGGTGATCTTGTTTGTGTCATATGGGGACAAATGTCTCAAATGATAATAAACCTGAAAAACTTATAGGGAACTTTTATGAGGAAATAACTTGATGAAGAAAACATGTTTCTAAAAGGAAAACAAAAATTGATTTATTGGTTTGTTATAAAATTTAGTGTTGTCTGCAGTACAGAAATGGTTCAAATCCCCTTTATGAATAACAGATAATGGTTTGGTAATGGTAGGTCCTCTGCCTGATACAAACATGTGTTTGTGCATTGTGCTCAGTGTTTTTTTTTTTTTTTTCACTTTGTAACTATATCTGGTATCTTCCATGTGCTTTTTTGCGACTCTGACATCTTCCATGTGCTGTTTGTGGTTCTGATATTTTCATTGCAATGGTGTGGGTTGAGGGATAAAGATGACAGAACATGAAGCATCTGCTTTACATTGCTGAGGTGCTTTGTGTGTGTGTGTGCTGTCTTGCTTGCTGGTTTTAGGCTGTGGGTGAGGAGTGGCAATCAGAAGGTACAAGCTCGGTGAGTTGCTTACTATGTGCATGTGCATGATAGTATCGAATTGCACCTTAGAATGTGTGTTTATCTTCTAGTTCTGTGCTCCTTGCTTTATAAAGCTGTGGTTATAATTGCTTTGCACTTTTACATTCTGAAAAAACTGAAAGACTTAATGAACTTTTTTTTTGGATGTATATTGTATAAACATTTATGATGACCTCAGTGCCCTAAATATATCCATGTCTTATTTTAAAGGCAACTGATCAGTTCTTAAAGAGACAGGCACATAAGCTGATGACATTTTAAAAACACAGGAAATGGGTGGCAGGAAGACATGTTGTGAACGAATGTATCCTATACTGTTGGGCAAAACTGAACCTTTTTTTTGGAAGAAAGAAAGTACAACCAACTACAGGGATTAACAGGGTCAACAAAGCCAGATACAAAGACTCCAGCAATGAAATTATGAAATCAATCTGCTTACAACATCAATCGGTTAAACTGCTTTTCATTATTGGCTCAAAATCTTGACAGAGTATGACTTTACTTTTTGCAACCATTATCTGTTACCCAATTAAGTTGCACTGCTGCTCACTTTTCCCCTTTTGCCTGGAAACATTGCACACAATATTGCCATAAATGTTTTCAAGCTTAGGACTGTAATAACTCACACATTTTTTATGAATCCATTTACAAATAAATGTTGCGTTACTGTTTAATCTACAGATTACTGAGAGGACTGAGTCTCTAAACCGCTCCATTAAAAAAAAGTAAGTAGACTTCAAACTTCAGAAACACACATACAGATTGAGATCAATGGATACAAGTGATTTATTGTAGGACTGTAACAAAAAACAGGGGCAGGATTGTTTTTCTGTGCGGTGGTATGACATCATGGGTTCATCATGGGTTTGTCTGTTTTATCTAAACATGACACTCGAGTGATTAATTCATGAATGAACAGCTGTTTGAAACATGGTTAGCCTTTCAGGCAGACATGACATGACACGTTTCTCTCTATGCATCTTTCTCTTATTTTTTTTTTTACATGCATCTCAAAAGCCCGGCCATTCTTTTCTACATTATTTTTTTATTATCTTGGTATGAAGTATAAACAATATCCTTTACAGTGCTTTTGTTTGTAGGCTATTTTTCACTACTTCATGAGTCATGGTCCTCTTCATGTCAGTGCTTGTTCTGAGAGCTTTTGTTTCTTGGAAAACAGTGGTGCTTTAGGTAATATTTCATCTATTTGTGAAAACAGGAACAGCATAAAGAAGACACAGCCTCCCACGATCATCTCAAAGTTAGATGGCAGATTGGAGCAGTACAACCATGCCATTGAGGTGAATTACCTTCTCATGTGCTTGTATAATGTCAATATCATAGTTAGGCTTTTTGCATATTCCTGTAAACAACATACCTGCACAGCTATTCTGCTGCTTTTACATTCATTTCTTTAAACATGCAGCTCTTTTTCCCACACCCAGTGCTTACGTAATCCAGCACTGATGTTTACCTCTCTGATCTCACTGCTGGGGTGCATTCAGACACCCTGCATGCCCAGGCACCTCTTCTATTAGTCATACTGACTCAAACTATTGTGTTCGTAGCCCATCCTCTGTTTTCCTGCCATCTAACTGTCAGGAAGTGTGTGTATAGTGGATCCAGGTGTTACTATGCTTTTGTTTTATCACATAGTCTCTGCTGTGAATTAGATATGTAATATTTCCCGTCATAGTGTTTGTTTTTGTGCGTGTGCAGGAGTCCTATAAAGAGGGGAACGTAGTCAAGCTAGTGGATGTCCCAACAGCACCAGAGCCTATATCTGCTCGGAAGACCCTGTTTGAGGCGGGGGAAGCCTGGAATCAGAATTCAGCCAGGGCTGTGTCCTCTAAGGTTCATATGGTCATTTCTTTCTTTCTTTATTTCTTTCTTTCTCCCCATACAATGAAAGTCACTAAGGATGTTGTTTTAGATTCCTCTGACTGTCGTTGTCTGGACATATATTTTTATATTTATGTACCACAAAAGACTGTCATACAGGTTTAGAACAACACTATGAGAGTGAGAAGTGCCAGTATGCAAAAATAAAAAAGTGATGGTAATATAGAAACCTACTGCATAATTCCATGTGTTTCCTTCAGTTGCAGCACATCGAGCTCTCTCGGCCATTGTAGGTTTGACACTAAAAAGTCTGTGAGTGGGTAAATGAAAGAATAAAAGATGACATGTTACTCTGTTTCAGGATACAGAGGGAATAAATGTGGGCGTGACTGATCTTATTAACCAATGGGTGAAAGGAAACTCTGACGTCAACACCAAGAGCCCCTCCTCCAAAGCAGCTGTAAGTTTACACGGGTCTCTGAATGTTAACCGCATAGTTTCTTATTCTGAATCCTACTAATAGTTCATTTCCTTCTGAATCTTTTGTATCCTCTATGTTCCTTTTCTTCAACTTTAGTTCTCTTCTTTCCACTTTGTCTTGTGTCTGCTGTTCTTCTCATCTCTTTCAATAAGGTAAACAATTCTTATCGCCCTTTTTCTCCATGAGTGGTTGGATTTAGGTGGTTTTTCACTCTTTCAAAATCTCAATGGGGTCCACTGGGTTAAAGTCCATGGCAATAAACTATTGTGGAAGAGTTTTAGAAGATGACAGGAATTTCCTGCTTTGTTTGTTGTTGCTGTGTATGTATATGTGTTTTCTGGATATAATCTATAGAAAACATAAAAGATTTTGTATGGTAAAAGTTCATGCTGTGGCAGGTCATGTGATCCCTGAATATCCTGTTGTTCAATGATGCCATCTAGTGGTTTAGGCTTATTAATGGGTTTATTAATCCGAACTATGGTATTTATTATCTTTCTTTGTGTGTGTTAGTGTCAGGATGTTAAGGCTGGTGAGGTGCGTAACATAAAATCCATGTGGGAGAATCTGAGAGACAACATGTCACCGGATAAACCATGCCCAAAGGTACATCAAAACTCCTTGTGGCACTAAACCATGATCAACCCTACAGTCAGAAACCTTCTTCTAAACTGCTGTTAGGTTAAGGTTAGGTTAATTGTTCAAAAACAACCCATAAACAACAATCAGCATCAGTTCTTATAATTATCATTTGATATTATTTTAGATGTTGTAGTACTTAAGTCCCCTTCACTTGGTTTTATAAGTTTAAAGGTTGTAATTTGATCTTTACTTTTTCAGGGATCATCTGGAAAAAGATACAAATTTGTTGTGAGTGGCCATGGGAAATACGAGAAGGTCTTCATTGATGACACAAACTAAGGATCAAGTAAGAAATGTAATCTCTTTATTAAATTTTTTTTATTCAAAATAACAAAATAAAAATTCATCATGTTTATTTCTACACAGACATAATTCATGCTTCACTAGAGTAACTAAAGTATGATAATGTGCTGTACAATAGCTTGGTTGTATACCGCTGGTAATCTACAGAAACAAACACACTAATATTAAAATACCTTCTGGGTGTACACAGTAGTGTGTGTATGATGATTAATTGTTATAATGTATAGTATATTGTTATAGTAAGTAGTTTCTCGCTATAATAAATCAATATATGTGATGGTTCCATTTGTAGTGTTTATTCAGGAAATATTTAGCCAGGTCTCTCCTTTTGCAACAAAGATCCCTGAAGTACAAGGGCTGCCAAAATTATCATCTTATAAAGTGTCTTCTTTCTTGGAGCTCTGGGTAGTATTCAGTAAATGTCACATGCCTGCTGTCTCACCTATCAGTCTAATGATTATTTGTGATACTGAACTACAAATGAATCCATAAGTGAATCCATACAAATGAATCCATGAAATCACTTGCAACATTTCACTAGAAATGTGTCAGTAAGAAAACATCCAAAACTCAAATGGTTTTAACTTAAAAGATAAGTAAAAATGAGCACATCTGAAACTAGTTTTTAGGGTCTTATTTCATGATCAACATATTAAGATTTACATTAAGTCTTTCCTTCATGTTCTAGCTATACTTTTCTGATTTCCCGCTGACCTTTTTGAAATGAACAGCACTGCCATCATGTCATATCTCATTCTGAGCAGGGCTCTTGACACCGCTCATGACGTCACGTTCTGAAACTCTCCATTCCAAACACGTCTGCTCGCAACACCCAGCTTGGCTGACGTGAGCAAACTTAAACCCAGGATCCATCCACATTGCTCTCTGAGCCACTTTCCTTTTTTGATCGTTCTCATCATTACGTTTTCACTCGCCACATCCCGAACAGCTGCACCTATCAGTCGCTGTCTCTCTGCAGGAATGACTAGGCCTCAATTTCTGCTGACCAGCCCCTTACTGCACTGCTCAGAGCAGAGTACAGCGGATAGTTTGTTTGTCTCGTCGTTGATTTCATGAAGAAAACGGAAATTACATTTACAGCACTAAAATACTACATAATTGGTTAATTCTGTAGTTGAAATCAACTTTACACTGTACATTTGAAATTCAATCAAACATCTTCCATTATTTCTGTAGATGTACCAAATCCTTTGGCTGTTCTGTTAAAGTCTTTTGGCTCTTCACCTTTCTGTTTGCGATTCAGCAGCCCTCTTTCAAAGGCTGTAGCTATTTTGTTGAGAGGTTTCGCAGCTGCCTCTTTCAGCTTCCGGGCATCGAAGCGCGGGCTGTAGAGAAGGATCGGCAGACGGTTGACGAAGGATGGGACCAACTGGCCGTCCTTCTCCATGTTTTTCCGCTCTTCCTCGGTTTTGTTGCTATGTATCTGCTTCATTATGTTCTCCTTTGTGGCAAACATATGAAAAAGTACAGCATCCCACATTTTTGTTACCTTGGGCTCATCTTTCCTTTTGACCACATCCTGTCCACCCGATGACTGTTCTTTGTCCCTTGCAGACCTGCCTTTACCACTTATTTTCATATCTGCTTTCTGAGCATTTTGCGCTGCATCAGGCTCTGGAAAACTGGGGGCTTCAGGTTCAACAACCATGTGCTTTTTCAGCTTTGTCCAGCCACTGACTTTGGCCTTCAGGCCTTTGGGTTTTTGAGCACTCTTAGGTTCATTTAGTCTCTTCTGATCATCTTGTGTTGGTTCAGAGGGAGTCGCTTTGCTAAACTTGCCATCTTCAGTGGCTACAGCTAATGAATCCTTTAAACACTTTTGAGGTATTGAGGTATCAGACTTTAGCACTTTAACTGTGATGGGATCAGTTTTTGAGTCCTGAGCAGTTATATGCTGTGCCTTTACATCCATATTCGATGATTTGGCTTCTGTCTGGGATTTAGCACAGCTTTCCTCAGATGAAGAGGGTGGTAGAGATTTGGCGGCCTTGAGAAGCATGGCAGCAAGACTATTTTCTGCACTTGGAGCTTTGCAAAAAGTCTTGACAGTTGAACACGGTAAAGCCTTTTGAGTGTCAGATTTTACGGATTTGTACTGCACGCTATCCATATTCAATTTGGTGTCCTGGGGTATGTTATTTGATGGTTTGATTGAATTTCTTTGTAATGTTGTTGAATCGTTTGATTTAGATTCAATTTTAACTTTAAATGCAGCTTTGGAATCAGTGTTGGTTTTATTGGAGACCTGTAAGTCTGATTCCAAATCTATCAATGGGTATTTTGTAACACCACTGATGGGTAATAAGTCTTCATTGCTGTCGTCTTGTTTAGAAGATTTGTCCTTAGCCTCAGAGTAAGGTGCTGGTGAAAATACCTGTTCATCTGAGGGGATTTTGGATGATGTATTTCTTTTGTTTGGAGAGCTTGGAATAGATTTCACATTGTTGTCATGTTTCTGCATCTGCTGACCTTTGGTTTCTTCTGTGTTTTGGATCATATTGTCTTTGGATTTAAAGGAGGGAGGTGTTGATTTTGGGTTTAATAAAACTTCACTTTTATTTGCTCCTGATTTGGAGTGAACTACCGCATTAGATGCATCTGATTTAAATGTGTTTTCAAGTTGAGATGGCTCAGTTTTAGAGGGACTTTTAGTATTAAATATATCTGTTTTAGGGAGCCTTGGACGATTAAATATATCTAATTTGGGAAAAACTACAGGGTTGGCTGCAAAAGACTTATCTGAGTCTTCATTTCTGGTTATTTCTGTCTTCGATGAGTCTGTAAAGATAGATGAACCTAACCTTGATTGAGCAGATTTAGTTTCCTCTGGCTTTAAGAGGGCTGCACATTTAATATCTGGAGGGACTTTAATGGAACTTGTGGTGTGTGTAGATGGCACTCCAGAGTCTGTGATATTGGTTGAGTTTGTTGTGATTTTATTTACAGTGAAACCTTCATTGTTGGTGTTTATGATATTGTGGTGTCGAGTGCCTGTAATGATGGCAGTAGAAGAATCGCAGACAGTTCCTAAAGAACTTTTGGGTAAACATGGCAAGGTTTTCTGCTCTTGATTTGCAGAAACGTGTGACTGCATCATTTTATCTGATGCAGAATTAAAACTTTCTGTTGGATATATAAATCTGTGTGCAGTCTCTGACTGCACTGTTTGCAGTGGGATATTTTGAACTGACAATAGATTTTTTGTTAACAATCCGGTTATATTTGAGTTCTGAATATTTAATTGGCCCTGGGGAAAAGGGTAAGTTGGCATTTTTTTCCCCTCTGCTGCAAAAGGAGGTGTGGGGATGTCTGTAGATCCTGAATTTAGTTGTCTAGGTGCCTCTGCTACAGCAGTGGGGTTTACAATTGATCTTAAAGGTGTAATTTGAAGCCCATGGTACATTGCATCTTCAGGATTTAAAGATAGAGGCCTTGGTTGTACTCCAGGGATTGTCTCTCGCTTCTTTATACTTGGATCTGCTATTTCCAAAGTGGGATTATTGATGGTTTCGATTTCAGTTTTGCCAGTTTCTAGTACCGTAGTACTTGCTTGGTTTGTCATCGCGATTTGCAAGGGCAGTGCAGCCACTGAAGTTTTTAAAGCCTCTAAATCTGCCAAGGATTTCTCTCCATTGAAATCAGATATAATGCTAAGCCTTTCTTGAGATGTCTTGGTTGGAGTTTTGGACATACAGTTCTCATATGTCATGTTTTTAATATCTTCTGGTACTTCAGGCTTATACACAGATTGATCACCATATGAATTCATCTTGATTCCACCATAAGCAATATATTCAGCAGGTGTCAAACCATAGTATGTTGATTTTCGTTTTGAGACGTTAATATCATTTTTCAGTGGCTTCTGGTGGCCCACAAACCGTGCTGGTGGTCTTGGTGACCAATATACTGGAGTACTGGGTGTTTGGTAGTTACGGGAAGGGGTAGGCATGGATGTTTCCTGACGTGCATCTGTTGGAACAGACTTGGCTGGTGTCATTATACAGGTTTCTGAAGTTTCAGTTTTAGTCATTGGATACTCCTGTATAACTGGCGATGTAAGCACCTCACATGCTCTAGAACTTGACTTACTAGTATCGGTAGGGGTCTTAGATAAGGAAACTTCACATTTAGAAATTTTTGGTGTCAAGCATTCCTCAGAATAGGCATGAGAAATTAATGATTTGAGTCCTGTGGCAAACACAACACCATTTGGAATGGAATTTGTTAGTTTATCCACAGGCATTTTTTTAAGGCCATCGTCATGATCAGCTGCTTTTACACTAATCAGTGAGGGAGGTTGGAGCCATTGATTTTGAGATATGGGTCCCTGATGGTTTTCTGTGGAGACTCTTGCCTCCATTTTGGAAGATAATGCCGAGTTGAATGCAAACAAGGGTTGATTATCTGCAGAAGCTTCAAAAACAGGTCTTACTGAGCTTACATGTGAATTCATCTGACAAGTTGGCGTTTGAAATTCATACCTTGTCCCTGAATTTTGTTTGACATCTATCACTGGATTTTTTGCAATAGATGGTGCTTCTCCCTGCAAAGCAGAACCACAAGCCCAGGACTCTTCAATAGGGGGCTTTGATATCTTATAAAATGATGTTTTTGGAGTATAAATCGTTGTTTGTGGAAAAGCAGCATTTTTCTCCATTGTGGAAGTCTTGACTTGTGACCCAGCTGTTTCCATGACGTGACTATTTGTGAGAGGTGTGTGAGTAATGAGTGCAGGTGCAACGTTTTTATATCCTTCCACATTGGATTGGCTCACTGGAACCTGAGAGATTGATGGCTGTGTCTGGGAACCCGGTGCACTGGATGATGTCATATATGGAGCGGGAGGTTGAACCGGTGCCAAGAGGGGGGGTTGTATTTGCACTGAGGCTTGATAGGTCTGTTGTTTGCCGAATGTGCCATGTGTCCTCCTTACTCTTGAGGAACTGGACTGAAGTGTTTGACTGAAGGCTATCTCAAAAGATGAATCTGGCTCTGCGTCTGTGGCCTGCTCGGAGTCATCGTCAAAAAGGATTGATGAGCATGTGTATAGAGGTGCTATCTGGTGCTCCAGTGATCTGGCAGGGTAAGAATAAGACTGTGGTGACAGTGTCGGCGTGGAACGGTAGTGTGAGCTGTTGGTGGGGTAAAAGTGTGGGGAGGGGGAGTGATGGCAGAAAGGGCTGCTGGAGGAATATCGAGACTCGAGGGTCCTGCTAAAGAGAGGGGTTTCTGGAGTCCTTGGAGGCGTGGAGTGGTCACTGTGCTCAAGGTCAGGGCTGGCCTCATTTACTGGTGACAGGTTTGACCGGAATGGGATAGGTGTCTGAGAGGATGAGCTGACTTTCTTTTTGCCACTTTTCTTCAGGAGTTTCTGCAGACGGGCATTGTCTCGCCCTGGTTTTGGCAGTAGAGGGGGAGGGTACTGCTGTGGAAGCAGACTAGACTGACTACCATAACTTAAAGCCATCAGCATTTCAACACCTGCATTGAAAACAAGCCACAAATACTAGTATTTAAAAAAAAAAAAAAGAAAAAAACTCAAACTCAACAATTCATACTGAATTCTAACTTTGGATTTAATCTCTATTTTTATTAATATTAACTGTGAATTTCACTCCACCGTCATGCTTAATACATGCTGAAAGAATTCAAATGTCTGGATTCCATTTTCAATTTCTGAGTGAAAATTGTTCCAAAGTAAGCCCAACACATTTTATTTATTTATTTATTTTTATGTGTAGATAACATAAATAACAGTATTTAAGGCCTATCATATGTCCAAACCCAGAAGCTAATTTGAAATTAAATTTTTACTTGAGGGTTACTTTTCACTCTTAAATTATATATATATATATATGGATTTTATTTATATTGATGTGGTTAATGCAAAAAGACTGACCTCTCTCTATCTCTCTTTAGCTGGCTGCTGGACACAAATATGTCTGAAGACAGGATGCTGATGTGATCACCGTCCTTCAGTTATTGCACTGTTTAAAAAAAAAATTACACCCACTAAATTTGAAAATTTGTGCATTTTAATTGCTGCCTTACATTTTAAGTAAAATGAAGTGGTGCCAAAACTATCACTTAAATGATTTTACTGATGAAGAAAATTAAAAGTGACCGAAATTATTGTAACAAGTTACATATTTAGAAACAAGGATGCTGTTTTAATCACAATTGACAGTTTCAGTGTGGTTATTTAACTACAATAACATCACATTAATGTGTCAAACTTTAAATCAGAGGAGTTCAATCCTGCTCCTGGAGAGCCACAAATTTAGTTCCAAGTTCCAACACAGCTTCCTGCCTAAAAGTTTATAATGATCCTGAAAACTTTGCTTAGCTGGTTCAGGTGTGTTTAATTAAAGAGCTAAACTCTGCTGGTAGACCTTAAGGAATAGGATTCAACACCTCTTCCTCACCTCTTAGGATTTTTGTGAAAACAAAAGTAATTTACAGAAAGTAATTTCTCATATATATATGAAGAGTTCAGATGCAAAAGCCTCTAAGTGCCATTTGAAATTTTCTTCTAGAATGATCATTTTTTATCAAGCTTTTATATTTAAGTTCAGTAATTTCACTTAAATAACAATTTATAGGTAATCTTCATTGCAATTTAAGTGAAATTACTGAGCTTAAATATATAAGTTTGATAAAAATTATCATTCTAGAAGAAAATTTCAAATGGCACTTAGAGGCTTTTGCATCTGAACTCTTCATATATACATTTTGTCACAATGTGGAATGATTTATAGCTGAAATTTATAGTTTAACTAGCGTTTTCATTCTGTGCATTCTTACTCTCAATGTCCTTCTCTCAATTCATTTTCTTTCCTCTCTCATGATTTTCTTTTAGAATATTGTCTCCATATAAGTGAGTGATATTCTGTTAAGTATAGCCTTACTCAGTCAATACATGTAAACCAATCAACCAAATATCTGTGGAGTGTAAGGTGTATTTGTCATAAATAAAACTCGTCAATTTTCAGGTAAGTGTTGTGTCTCTTTGTTCATCCATACTGTTGAAAATATGTCCTCTTCAGATAGAATATAGTAAGTTGTAGAATGTCTTTCCATGTTCACATTAAGACATCCTGCAGTTCACAGGTGTGTCAAAATACTGTGATTTTGTTTACCATGAACATGTTTGTTTGTTTTTTTAGGGAAGTATATTTGAAGAGTTCAGATGCAAAAGCCTCTAAATGCCATTTGAAATTTTCTTCTAGAATGATAATTTTTATCAAGCTCGTATGTTTAAGTTCAGTAATTTCCCTTAAAGGTGGCATATGTAATAATTGAGGTAACAATATATGAAAAATGAGCTACACGCATCAAAAGAATGAGAAGAAATAAGTGCAAAGATGTCATTAAAAAACTGACAAGTTATAGTGCTGCCGAGATATTAACCTGAATTAGCATGCTAAATTACTAGCCCCGGCCCGGCAGGTATCGTAATACCAGTTCCGGCCATGGGAGGCGGTATGCGGACGGGCAACGTTAGCACCAGCCAAACTGCAATAGACGAGTGAGTCGCGCTCGCGCCGGCTTGTGTGTGTACTTGAACCTGATGTCAGTCGTGTGGAAATACAGCCAATTACTAAATTTCAGTTCAGGGAAGAGTTCAAAAAATGATTGGTCGACATTATGCATGAGGAATACATTTTGGTAAGTTGTAGCATACTGTATCTTTCACCAGTGTTCGTGTTCTTTTTCCAGCTAGTAGAGACGATCGGTTCACGTGCGCTAGGGATCTGTAGTGTAACATGTACAAGCGCCAAAACGGTATTTATTCTTTGAATTGCGTAATAAAATTGACAGAATCTGAGAGCTTAACTAACCTGTTTGCTAAGTGTCAATTGCGTGTGTCTCACTGTGAATTCACGGCGCTAGCTTGATCAACATCAGCGAATGCTGTCTGTCAAATTAATTCACTAACAATAAAAGTGTAATATGAACAAAACGAATACCATAAACTTCAAATAATTGCCCAAGCTTTTATTTTCCCATACCGTCGAAATGCACCAGCTTGTTTTTGAGATCTATGAGGCGGTCTTCATCATTTAGTGTTGAGATTCATAGTGTTTAGTTTAGTTCACTCTAGTGTTTAGTTCATTGAGTCTCTGATCTCTAAAAATCTCCAAATGTTCCACGTGAAACTGCGGTCTTCCAACCTTTTACTATCATGTCAAATGATTTGAATAACATGCGCGATGGTAGGAGCACAAGTCATTTTTTGGAGGTATACTGCCCCCATCTGTTATGGAATATGGAGTAGGATTTGATTTATGATGTTAGATGGCACCTTTAAATGACAATTCATAGGTAATCTTCATTGCCATTTAAGTGAAATTACTGAACTTAAATATACGAGTTGGTTAAAAATGATCATTCTAGAAGAAAATTTCAAATGTCACTTAGAGGCTTTTGCATCTGAACTCTTCATTTGTTCTCTGTTAGTAGGTTAATAAGCATACATGACCCCTACATATGACAGAATTTATTAAATTCAAATTCACCACTATACAGAATATCCCACAAGTCTGGTCAATATTGTAATGTACTTGCATGTACATACAGTCTGTGACTCCCTCTGTATCTGGGTTAATTTAGTATCTGTGTGTATTCTAGTGCCTGCGTGACAGTACTATCCCTGAAATGTGATCTTGAGCTGCTCTACATTTTATTTTTGCCCACTGAAAGACTGCACATCCTGGAACCACAAAAAGATAAACACGGCCCCAGCCTCAATTCTCACACAACCGTACAGAGCTAATTACATTAACACTTTTTAATCTTGTATTACAATGTATCTGGTTGGCAAACATTTTAACCTCAGTGATCTACTTCCCTCCTTTTCCTTAGACGTGTGAGATGTCTGAGTGCTAAAGACCTGAGATATGCCTGTTTGATTTAGGCTCTTTTAGCATAACACCTCTGTACTATTAACAATTGAAAGACTTCATGCTAGCTAAATCGTTGCACTGTTCACTATTGTCTATTGCAACACATACAATTGCTGTATTATTTTTTAAATTAAATACTTCAGGTTGGATGATCACGCTATAAGCATTCATGAGACTTACAGTGAGGTCAGAAGAGAGAGATGATGCTGATCTGCAAAAGATATGAATAGACAGATAGGAAATTAATATCAGTTAATAAGTACTGTGAAATACAAATCCAAGGTGCACACTGGCCAGCCATATTATATATGCCAAACAAAGATCTTAAATGACAAAAGCAGCTTGCAATTGTTTTAAATCAGGCACTTTGACACTAGTGCCGGCACAATGAGCAGAGGCCTAACGTCTCTCACAGAGCCATGCGCAAGACAACCACAGATCACAGACACCTTGTTTTTACCTGTGCAAGTATTGCTGTACAATTAAGTGTGCGTCTGCTGGGTCCAACTCTGTGCGAGTGTGGTGGGGTAAGATTAGTAGAACAGAGCAACAGGACATGGTGACCTACCCCCTTTCCATGCCAAAAATAAAACTCATCGCCCCAAATTCAATCTTCGCTCTGACAGCCAGTGAGATGTAACCAGCAGGGGCTTTCCACTTCACCTGAAACATATGACAGGCCCAGTGGATGTGTTATCAAAAGTCTTTCTCATTTTGCTATCTTTGCATGCATAATTGAAGGCATGGAATTACTGTGCTACATGTATGCAGAGGTAATATGTTTATAGTCTGCTGATAGATTTTGGTTGTGGCATGGGTGCAGATTCACATTTAAAATTGACATGTAACAGTTTCAATAGTCTCTTGTGACATATATCTGGCTCTCTGGGAAGCAGGGTAGCATGTCACAGCAAGAAGGTCCCTGGTTCGAGTCATGGGCGGCTGAGCCAGGAGTCCCTTTCTGAGTGGAGTTTGCATGTTCTCCTTGTGCCTGCGCTTGGGTTTCCTCCTGGTGCTACGGTTTCCCCCATAATTCAAAAACATGCCGTATAGGTGCATTGGAGATGCTAAATTGCCCTTAAAGGGTAACTAAACCCCTGGTTAGAGCCTACCTCCACCACTGGCAATATTTGAAAAATGCTGAAAAAATGAAGATGGTTCTCACTGTAGAACATGAAATCCACGAGGAGGAGTCGGATCAACTCCTCCCACCTTACAGTACATATACCTGAACCTACCCAGCTCCACCCCCTGATCCCTAAACCCACCCCAAAAACCTACCCAACTCCACCCCTCAGATCTGGATCCGACTCAGCCCCCTGAATCTTGTGTACTGCAATAGAGCATCACAGTCCCGCCCACAGCCCGAGAGAGCGTTGGTGCCGGAAGTAAATTTCCCATTCATTTCTCCCATTGACATTTTGTAAAATCCATATCCATATAAAGAGTATTAGAGCATGTCTGAGGATAACCAGCTACGGCTGAACCCATAAGCATACAACATATCATTTCGAGGGAAAAAACGAAGAGAAAATCCAAAAAAAGTTCAGGGGTACAAGCCTGTGTACATATTTTCATTTCCAAGCAAAGGAACTACTCCTCCCATAAACCACCGCGCCTCACTGAAGTTGTCTGAAAGCCACCGTAAAAGAGCCTTTTTAGTGACTTCCAAATCTGACGACGGCCATGTGAACTTTTTCCTCCAGTGAATTTTATATAGCCTAGTGAATGTGCAGGGAAACTCCTTTTCCTCGATTTACTGAAGCAAATGCATTTGCAGCTCCACATGCTAAAACATTAGCATCTGGCTCGCTCATAGGCTGTGCTGCGGCAACTGCACATCCAATGGCACGGGGGCTTGTAACATTACATGAGATCTTTTCATTGTCAACTATAAAAAAAACAATAAAAAAAACATTTATGTCTGAATGCTTAACATTTAATGTCTGTCTGATTTAAGTCTCTCAAAGAAATTATAAATGATGTGCAAGCAATGAACTTAGCTTTATGTCATTAAACGATCTTCAGTCTTCACGTACCTTCACAGGGTTTCAGACACGTGACATGACTTCCACCAATCAGATGCATCACTGTGGGATAGTGGGATTGTTCAGGATTGTGGGTAATGAAGTACTTATCCAATACATCACGAATAAAAGACATTTATCTTAAAACAACAAGGTTAGTGCTCCATGAACTTTTAGTGTTTATATGAGCATACAATGGCTTAGTACAGCCATAGCTGGTTTTAAGTGATGCAAGTAGCTTTGCAACAGAGCGGTCATTTAAACTAAAGTCAAGGATTTTTCTCCCCCACCTTCACTTGAAGGTGAAGGGAAGAAGGGTGAATTGTCTGTGGACACACGGCCATATCAATTCCACCCGCTGGCTCAATCTACGGTCTTAACTCCCGCATCATGATCGCATCTGATGAGTTTTATCGAGTTGATGTCAATAGCCCCGCGCTCTGCATATTGATATTTTGCAGACATTGCCGGCGCGTTTGTCGACTCCAGAGGATTAACTTTAGCCTAACCATAAATTGTGATTAAAATATACATGATAACTCACATCAAGGCGCCGCTGTGGTGGAGTCCATGCAGGAGGAGCAGTGTTTGGCACTGCCGCGAGCTGTATGGAGAATGTCCACCTCTATTCCGTTACCATCCTGATCACTGTACTAAACACAGATAAATCTACGCTAACTTGATGCTATCCTAACTGTACCCCAGAAAAATCATTGCCAAGAAAATTCATGGACTGTATTAAAACATCTTTGCAAACTTGAAAAACAAAATGAAGGACGGACCTTGATTTTTCACTGGGAATTGATTGTTTTTTGTTTTTTTTTGGTTCGTTGTGGTTTGCTACTGCGGTGATCTCATGTGAGTGACAGGCTGTCCCGCCCTCGCTCCAGTGAACGAGTCATCAGATGTCAGTGCAAGTGGGAGTGGAAGTACTTTGAGAACTTTTTTTAAATTCAAATAATTTTCAATGTATTGTTTGGACATTTTATTCAATGTATAAATTGCAGTGGACAAATACTTGCAAATATACATGAAGAGTTCAGATGCAAAAGCCTCTAAGTGCCATTTGAAATTTTCTTCTAGAATGATCATTTTTATCAAGCTTGTATATTTAAGTTCAGTGATTTCACTTAAATGGCAATGATAATTACCTATTAATTGTTATTTAAGTGAAATTACTGAACTTAAATATACAAGTTTGATAAAAATCATCATTAAAGAAGAAAATTTCAAATGGCATTTAGAGGCTTTTGCATCTGAACTCTTCACATTTTCTTTCTAAACAACAGTTACAGTGTGGTTATAAGTTGAAGTATTAGTTGTTAGTTGAACAGCTGAAGTATTATTTTAAGAATTGATAAGTATTTTTTAGAATTATTTAATTTTTTGAGTGGTTATTCCTTAAAAAGAAAAAAGAAATTATTAACATGCGTCAAGATTTAATTAGTATTAACACTTAATAACATGCTTTCAAAGTACACTGATTGGTGTGCACAATGGAGTTATTCACTTCAGGCAGTTTGTCTGTATTACAGTATATGCTTGCTTTGGTCAAATTTGCCCCATTGTGGACAACAACGTTATCAGTTTCCAGTTTGTTTCCCCGCTCCCAAAAAGCATCCACAAAGACATTTTGTATCCCTCTGTTAGTCACAGCCAGATTTCATACTCTCCTTCTTAACTTGGGCTTATTTTTGCTTGCCTTGTGCTACGACAGATATAGCGATTGGGTGCCTCAGCTTTCCAAATCTGATCATCCTTTCATCCAGCACATTCTGTGGGCCTCCTTATGGTCCAGATCCCCCCCACCCCCATTAGCTCCTCAGCCAATGAGACTCCTTAGAAGATCAAGTATCAGTATAAGTCAAGGACTTAAGAAGTTTCAAGGTTTGCAGAACCTTTCAGCCCGTCTTCGCCATCAAGACACTCTCTTCCTTCGCCTTTTTTGAGGTAAGAGTTTTAAAGATTTGATATCTTCAGAAATTCAAAGACATGTCTTGGCCGAGTCTGAGTGGAAAGTTCTCACCCTCTGTCCACAGCTAATGGTGCTTTTTTTTTTCTTTTACATTTTTTTTTCTCTCTCACATGTTGTATATTGCTATAAATGATGAACTTTGACTGTGCTGAATGGATATGCTGCTAGCAGATTTTACTTCAGTTGATGGCATAAATGTGTGTGGGCACCTCTGTTGATGGGATGGTTCTGTCTCAGTGTGCCACTCTGACTAATGGCTATTATCAACCAGCACAATACGATTTAGGATTTACACATCGTTGGCTTCCTCTTTGTCCTATCCTGTAGATCACCACTGTGACAATAGAGGCTTAACAGCTGTCAACAGATTAATAGCACAAACAGGGTGGGAGTATTAGAACAATGCACTAATTGTTGACATTTTGAGGCTAATACAATGCATAATATAATAGTATACTATATTCATTCTGTTGTGATACTGCATTCACTTTTTGTTTCATGGCAAACTAGAAAATCCAGCATTCTTTCCTTTAATGGCTCATAATAATTTAAGCACACAGTTATGCCCACATAAGGCAGGGCTGACAGGACCAGAGACTCGCTGTCAAAAAGAGAGAGAGCTGATGCTGGGAAATATGATCATGTGTTAATCTCCAAACGCTCCTGCAGCTGTGCTGGAGATATGAGTCACTGAACACACACAGAGAGAGAGACAGAGAGAGAGAGAGAGAGAGAGAGAGAGAGAGAGAGAGAGAGAATGAACAGTTTTATACTGGGTAAATGCCAATTCACACTGCACCAACAGGTGTCGACCAACGCTGGCAATCACCAGATTACAGTAGAGAGAGAGAAAGAGAGATTTTTTAAGAATGGCAAGGCTATCTGGATATGCTTCCATAGGCGTAATGTTTTTTATACTGTACAACCATACCCCTATACCCTTTACAGGAAGTGTCCTCATAAACCAAGTTTACTTTGTAATAGCCATTTGCCACATTTGTGTCATCATAAACCATTTTTTCAAAAAACACACACCATTTTTCTTTAACTGTTTTTATACTGAGAAGTTTTTTATACTGAATGACATTTGATGCTTTTGGGCATTACACCTCAACTTAAACATCACATTTATAGAATGAAAATATTTCATTTACAGAGTTTGACTCTGCTGATATTTTGTTGAAGATGTGATCTAAGCTCTAATTCTGCTAGATTCAACATGCCCTACTTTGATCATTTATAATTTCTTTGAGAGACTGAAATCAGACAGACATTAAATGTTAAGCATTCAGACATAAATGTTTTTTTTTATAGTTGACAATGAAAAGATCTCTATCTAGTTTGCGATTATAACTTACAGTGTCACAGTGGTACAAACAATCTCCCTGTCTGCTTCATATAGGTCTAAAGCTCCCTCTGTCATCATGTCCGACACAGAAGACGTGTGAGTATTTTGACATTAAATATTAAACTGCATTGTTCAGCATGCTAATTATTATTATTCATGTTCTATGGTCAAGAAAAAAATAACGATAACTCTTCTTTCTCTCTTTTCTTTCAGTGGGGGTAAGTTCTAAATTTAAATTATTATTGCAGTTGTTATAGAAATGCCCTAGACAGGAAGTCTATCATATGTGTATGCAGCATATGTACATTATTTTCTGTATATATGTACAAATGTTTCCAGTTAATATCTATTTCCGTTTTTGTTTAAAAATAAAATCGTATTATATGTATGTATTTTGTTTTTTCAGTCAGCATCAATGTTTTTTTGGTATGTCAGAAATTACTCTATGTATATAGAGCCTTGATGACATATCTGTGCAGGTTTGGCTTTGCTTTATCCAGCATTTAAATTTAATTGGTAAAAAAAAAAAATACACATTTCAAATCTAAATATGTATCCAATGCAAGAGTTGTGCCCTGAATTTGCTTGTAATGAGTGATATTGTGCCACCTGCTGTCTAGCAGCTGTTTCATGAATCTCATGCCAGCATACTGCCTTCTGCCACTGCTATACCGAGAGCTTTTTTAGAAACATCTCTGGAGGCTGACATGCCAAACACAGGCAGTGGCTGAATGCAGTATTAATGATGCTCATGTTACTGGTGTTCTCTGAGGTAAAAGCTCATGTCAGGCTAGATCAGAGATCAGACCAAATGATTAATTTACTGGAACTGTCATTAATAATTGGCTACTGTGGCTCTGTACTGAACTCCGACTGAGCGCTAACCCCACAGAACAACATAAAAAAGGCTCAGCATGTGTTTCATGTATGATGCAATTACAAATACAATGGTACAAAAAACAGAAAAGAAAAAAAATGCATTTTTTAATTTGTGTATTCCTTTACTGCTTTCTTTTCTGGCATATGAAGAATATGAAGAGGAAGGTAAAATAAGCAACAATAAACTACAACAAAACAAACCAAATGGATTTGAAAATTAACTAGTCTTTCAACATACTAATTCAACGATTTCTCCTTATTTGTTTAAAACTGCCTGACACTGTCTGCAGTAAGCTGTACAGTAACTAAGTCAACTGAAAATAAATTAACTGAAAGCAGAAAATGAAAATGGTTTGCTTAACTAACTTTTTTTTCTAATCTTTCAAATGTCAACATTTTCATTTAACTCATCACAAGGAAAACTAAAACAAAAAGCATATTAATTATGTTTATGCTGGGAAAACGTCTAGGTTTCGACTGTAACCTCTGTTACCTGAGAACAGGGAACGAGACACTGCATCGATTGACATGAATAGTGATTGGCTGGGCTCCTTTGGGTCCCTAGCCACATTCCCTTGAAGGGACCCCTTCTAATTTGAAGCTGTAGTGCTAGGCCCTTGAACAGGCCCAGGTAGGCCTTTTCATTAAATAAAGTTTATGGAGGGTTTCCTGTGAATCGTATAGCTTGGGTTATGACCGTTGGGTACCTGTCACTGACAGTCCAGTGTGACCAGAGGGTGAGTGGTTCTGGCATTTCATTCAAATTTGCTGGTTCGGACAGTTGTCACTGGCTCTCCCCTTAGCATGGTGGCCTTGGTATATAGTTCCCCAAAGCATCAATCGCTTGCAGTGCAAGTTCCCTTTCGAAAGGGAACGTCTAGGTCACAACTGTAACCTCTGTTCCCTGAGAACAGGGAATGAGACACTGCGTCTTTTCGACATGCCTCGGGGCCTGCCTACCAAACAGTCCCTTCAGACGATAATGTGAATGTCATGTTTTCAAGGCTCCCCTTTTATACTTCCGATTCGCACGGTGATGATGTCATGGGCTGTCACAGGTCAATAGGATTGCCGTGATTTGATAGTTATTTCATACAGCGTCAATCGAAGCAGTGCAAGTTCCCTTTCTAAAGGGAACTATTGGGAGCTAACCAGCATGTGTTGCCCCCCACAGCTTGAAGGTTGCCATGACCTTTGATGACCTTTTAGACAGAGTCCATAAAACGGATTGGAATACTTCATTGTGGAAACCTGAAGTTCTAAATTGTGTAACTGTTAAAAAAGGTCATTCAAATAGTTTGTTGTTTTGATGCTTTGTCTTTGTTTTGAGGTGATTTTGTCCGTGCACAAGTTGCGAAATTTATTCTAGTTTATTTTCCCAGCCAACACAAGGCAGTTAGAGTTGACTTTAGAATATTTGAATTAATGGTTTTGGCAAACAGGGAAAAACAAAGGCATTTCATGTGGGTATTTTATTTGGCATGTGGAACCCTGGTGTCTCAAGGTCTCATCGTTTCATAACAGGTTCTCCCGCTATTTGGATCCTCTTAGCCATCAGTCCCATCCTTATCGATATACATTTCACACATGACTCTCTCTTTCTCTCTCTCTTTCTCTTACACACACACTTTAACCAATACTTAATCTCCCATTTCTGAATGCTCCTTCCTTTGCAACGCATTAACTTTTGACAACCTTCCTTCCCCTGGTTGCTTGCTGCATCATGTATTATTACAGTAGCTGAAGAGGTAGTAGAGGTAGAGGTAGCTCCAGAGGCAGCTCCTGAACCGGAGCCTGAGCCTGAGCCTGAGCAAGAACCAGAGCCAGAGCCAGAGCCAGAACCAGAGCCAGAAACACAGCCAGAACCAGAGCCAGAACCAGAGCCAGAGCCAGAGGTGCATGAGGAAGGTATGTGGCATGGATATTCATTCATCCTTCCCATTTTCCCCAAACAACTAAAAACAGGCAGCACACCTCACCCATTTCTTAAAAATCATTCACATTAACGTAGCAGTAGTTCCTCAGTAGTTCCCCTACAAAACTTTAACCACTACTGGCGGTACCTCCTCTTCGTTCAGGCCCACTATATGGGTGTACATCTCAGATGTTGACAGAGCTTAGATTTATGCCATTTCAGTCCCTTATGGTGCATTTGAATTATTTTTTCAGGATTGGACAATTTCCCAATTTACGAACAAGGAATATTTTCCAATTCTAATTCACTTGCAGACCTATGTGGAGTGAGCTGGAACGATTAAGCTCTGACAGACATGGCACTCATCTAAAATGCAGCTTCTTAAGAGTGGAATGGATGCTGGAGACCTTCAGTGTTGGGAAGCAAAAATGATTACCAACACTTCTAAACTATATTTTTAGTTCGATGTATCAAAAAAAATCCTTCATTGCTCTTTTTTATGTCAAAAGTCATCTTCCCAAACTGTCCTCTCTCTTTATAAAGTCCCAGTCGTTATAAATATGTACGTCATGTAAATATTCCCCAATTCAGTAAATGATTGACAATAAAAGATTCACTAATTCAAATAAAAGATTCAGTATTTAGCAGTACTAAATACTGCTGTTCATCACTTTTTTTTTTGATAAATTAAGTGATAATTTTGTCTGTTCAAGTTTAATGGCCTTACACTAATTAGGATACATATTTATTAATATATATATATATAAATCTATATATTAAAGGTGGTATTGTCCCCCCAGTGTCCTCTAGCTTGACTGTATGAACTAACCATGAGGAGTAGCTTGGTTACAACAGTTTCAAAGTAGCTTCCCCAACACTGGTGGCCTGAGCTGATAATAAATCACATTCCAGCTCCTGCTCTTGCCAATTACGCTGCAATTACGATGCTTATATCAGATTGTGACTGAAAACTCATTGCACTCTTCTGCATTCAGAACTGCCTCTGAGTTGCCGCCAGCGTAATGCTAATCTAGGCTGCATCTTGAGGAAAATATATTCTATTGCATGTGTTTTAATAATTCTGCATCAAATGCAATTGTTTCAGTTGCTATGGTTTTTCATAATATTCATAGGATGCTGAGTGTTTAAATACCAATTACACAATAAATGGTCATGTTTAATGAAACTTTCAAAGGGACAAAAAGGCTACTTATATGTTCTTTATTAACTTATTCTCTCTAATTTCACTAGCTTAACACGGGAACGGCTCTCTTTGGCACACTGAATTAGTACACTGAAGAAGTTTAATTATTGAATTAAAAAGCAAAATGCAGAAAGTGTCAAGCCAGATTCTGTCCATTATTAAGATGCTTTTTGTCCACTTTGAAATACCAAGCAATGTTTTATGATAATGTGTATGCAAATATAAATTGATCATCAATAGAAATGTTGTTATTTAACTTATGTTAGCTTGCTCATATTGAGGTGTCCCACTGAAAGTGTTAACCTACTGTAATTCATTCAATATGTATTGTGATATTTACTGTTTAATTAATTGTTATGTTTAATTTCAATGTATCCTGATACCTCAATTTGAGTGTCCGCTCAGCTGAACTCTGCCTCTGAGCACGCAGCCCTGCTTGGGGCAGCAAAAAGCACACAAAGCAACTTTAATATTCTCTATTTTACTCTTGCTTTCAACGCTTGATGCATGCAGAGGCCTATGAAGAGGAAGGTATGTTTGTCATTTTCTTGTATTTGTCATTTCTTATTAAAAATAAGGCATGGGGGAGGGGTTAATGCCTGCAAGGTGCACAGTGAAATCAGGACCAAAACCTTACAACATCTTATTCTGAATAGGGGGACACAGAAAGCTGGCCTGTAGTGTCGGTTGAAACTGACACTAGCTTACAATAAGTCAAGGGTGAAAGAATATGAAATGCTGACATTGCTCTATGCTTTGCTTCTTTTCGCATGAATGTGCCACAATACCAGTGGAAGGAGTACAAGATGGTAGATTTTAATTCCCTTCTGGAAAATGTCTGGTCTGGGTGTAGCTTGATGCTTGTGTTTTTGGTGTGAAGGTCAAGCCAAATTGTTATGATACATTGCAATTGCTTAAACATCTTATCCAGCCCACTTGCAGAGTCTAGTCAAAAGTCCATGATGACCAGATATATAATAAACCCAGATTTAGATGCTGTTAGTCAAAAGAAATGGGAAAATGAATGAAGGATAAAAAGCTGATTCTTATCCACAAGGCTTTGTGTGTGTTGTTGTTGTTGTGTTAATTCCTGGAAGAGTGAGAATGGTCCACTTGTCCGGAGTTATCTGTCTGTTTATACTCATGTACTTATAAGCACCTCATGATCTGATTTCTTGTGCAATGATTCGGCTAGATTTGTTTTGACCAACTATGTTTTTCAAAACTTTCTAACTAACCCAGTTTTTTAACATTATATATACTTAACTTCATAAAGATACCATTAAAAGTTACATACATAATTTTAAAAGCTCAGGGTAACAGAAACCAGCACTGAGTTGTTACTAAGAGTAACTTTAAATTTAAATTGAATTGAGTAACTCCATGTTCATGGATATGGCTAACAAAATTCCCACTGATTGTTGACTGAGGTTGTTTAAAACATCTCTAACCATGTTACATATCCCTCTCCCTTTTCATTTTATTTTTCATAACAGATGAGAAGCCCAAGTTCAAGTAAGTAGTATTGTCCACTTAATAGTTCTTTTACCGCTGAGCAGCCAATTTCAATGCTGTGATGTAATACATCATGCTCTGAGTTGTCCTAAGGAGCTGATGAAGTTATTTGACACCCAGTGCCACTAAAACAAATTTTGCTTTCATTCCCTTCAGACCAAGTGCACCAAAGATCCCTGACGGGGAAAAGGTGGACTTTGATGTAAGCAAGTAGCGCATGTCATTGTTGGTTATATCAGATTATGTATTAAATGCACACATACCTGTTTGAGGTCATATTTCCTTGGGTGCAAACAGGACATCCAGAAGAAGCGTCAAAACAAGGATCTCGTTGAGCTGCAGGGCCTGATTGATGCCCACTTTGAGTGCAGGAAGAAAGAGGAGGAGGAGCTTATTGCTCTGAAAGAAAGAATTGTGAGTGATCGCTGTCTATAAGCTTCCTGATTACATGACTCAACAACAATTATGTGAATTTTAAATATTGATTTGAGATCCAATTATTTTAGAATCTTACCTGTATATTATCTTAAAATAGTCTGTTACAATGTACAACACAATCAGCCTGTTAGTGAGGTAATCAAGTAGGGCTAGTTCATAAAGGGTTTCAGCCAGTAAACAGGATGGTGTATCGGTCAGGACACAGGAATAAAGACGAGGAGATGTAATTTCCTTCTTTATCTGTATTAAATTCCAGTCGTACTCATCAGAACATTCCAATATCCAGTATTGTCATTACAGTCTGATAAAACAAAATACATCACAATTAGTTACTGTAGTTTAAACAGTTTAAACAGTACTAAATTATTATGCAACATAAATAATAAATCCACAAACAAAATACACATCTGGCTCATCAAACATAAATCTCAATTGACATTGCTATGCCCCTTTAAACAATCTCCAATTACATAAATATTATTTGTTATAAAGAAATAAAGAGTTTTACCCATTTCACTAACCAGTTTCCATAATACTGTTTTTAAAAGGGGTTTAAAGAAAAGATAATAGCGACATCCTCTGGCCAGACAAGGCTACTACACATAAAAGATCGCACATGTCTCCTGAGCACGATATTAACTCTTTAACTCAATAAAATAAACATTAGCACGTAACTCGAAGGCTCACATAAGTTAGCTATTATTTCCCACAGCATTTTACAGCATGAACATTGTTCTAACAACAGAAATCTCACTCATCTCGCTGGGCACATGTGAATACACGGTAAATCTACGATATAGAAACATAAACACAAGAAAATAACAGTCACTTACTTTTCTTCATTCACTCAATATATGGAATACTGGAAGCTGGATTTCTCAGGATGAACTATAAAGACTAATCAACCCATGTACGAGGGCTAAACTGCAACTGTTAAACTTGAACTCGTTCTCTCTTCCCACTCGAGCCAACACACACATCACTTCCTTTACCGTAACCATAGAAGAAGAGTCTTAAAGCGGCAGGCACCCAAAAATGTCAAAGCCTTTTATACACAGCCTATCAACAAGACAAACACAAAATTAACATTTCCATTTTCACCACAATAGAAAAAAAGAGACCCATAAACGTTGGTTTTATACAAGAATAAAAGTTAACGTAGCCTACTAAAATGACTAAACCTAAAATCAAAACTAATGAAAATGAAAAAAACAAGAATACCAAAATTACTTACATTTAAGCTAAGATTAAAATGAAAACTAATATAAAAAAATAAAGCTTAAAAATGTTAATCCTAAAATATAGTGACCTGGATAAGCAGAGTGATATACAGCGTTGCTTTGGACAATGGCATGGCATTGACCAGTCAGAATTGAGTAATCCTATCAGGATATTATAATGGACATATTTGAAATCTGTCTGTGTGTAGGAGAAGCGTAGGGCTGAGAGGGCAGAACAGCAGAGGATCCGCGCTGAGAAGGACAAGGAGCGTCAGGCAAGACGTGAGGAAGAGAGGCTGAGGAAGGAGGAGGCTGATGCTAAGAAGAAGGCAGATGATGATGCCAAGAAGAAGTCTGCCCTGTCCAACATGGGCTCTCAGTACAGCAGCTACCTGCAGAAGGTGCAGAGCTTTCTATCAGCCCCAACTCTGATTCTGTTCATCATCACTCGGAGTACAGTATATGATTGTGAAATGGGTTGTGTTTGTGTGCTGATAAAAACAGGCTGACTCGAAGAGGGGAGGCAAGAAGCAAACTGAAAGGGAGAAGAAGAAGAAGATTCTGGCAGACAGACGCAAACCTCTGAATGTTGACCATCTCAACGAGGACAAGCTGAAGTCAGCACAAATTCTCTAAGCCTATGCAGGCAATGAGGCTGAAAAAGACACATTGTCCTGATGAAACATAGTTGGTGTCTAAATTCTAAATGTGTTTTGGTGTATATGGTGTGTTTACAGGGAGAAAGCTAAAGAGCTGTGGGACTGGTTGTACCAGCTGGAAGCTGAGAAGTTTGAGCACCTCGAGAAACTCAAGAGGCAGAAGTATGAGGTGAGGAAGCATTATAATGCCCAATTGAACAATACAATGTCTATAAACTAAATTTACTTGACATATTTTACTATGACCTATACATTTGTTTTACTAGGGGAGATTCACTACTTTGTCAACTGCATCCTGGACATACTTAAAAGCTTAAAGAGATAGTTGAACCAAAAATGAAAATCATTTACTGGTATCTGTGGTTCCATGATAATCCATCCATGAAACATTTGCATTCTTTTCATTAGAAAAAGGTTAAAAGATTTTGTTTATTTAAATGGTTGTTTTAAGAACTGGTCACTGAAATGTTCTTTGAGAATTCCATAATGGTTCTTCTTGCATCTCTCCGAAAAACCTCTTTTGGAACCTTTACTTTTACGAGTGAATGGGATGCAAAAAGAGATGACCATCTTAGGTAGGCTATACCATTCATTACACGATAAGTAATACCTGAACTTTCATTTTTGGGTCAACTATCAGTTTAGTCCTCACATTTGGTTATGATACAGTGCATTACAGTCAATCAGTCTGTACTTTAGTGGAGGGAATTTTTCAGTGATTCCTTCTATAGGTTTACGAGTGCATCATTGAATCATTTATTCAACCGATTCGATTCAATCCGTTTAAAAAAGCTGATTCATTCAGGAATGGAACACCATTACTGTAAGTTGTTTGGAGACATGATGGTTCCACGTGATCAGAAATGAGAAATGAGAAATTTGAAGGTGAAAGATTTTCGCAACGCATTCAGGTTGGTGACTGATCTCGCCACAATGACCAACAGAAAGCTGCTTGGTTTGAAAGTGACTTCTGTGTGAGAGTTCATGCAAATTCTTTACACAGATATTGGACTTTTGGACTTACTTGACCAGCACAACATTTCCAGCCCATTCTCACCCACAAGGCGTCACCTAACTAACGCCTTGGGAAGCATTTTGACCATGCTTCAATATCTGACGCTTTAGGCGCTCTTAGATGATGCCCTAGGATCGCGTGTAACCCTACCCCCACCCCAGACCTAAACCTAACCGTGTCATCTAACTGACGCTTTCCTTTAGCGTCAGTTAGATGACGCCATGGTCAAAGGTGACGCCTTGGAGTGAGAATGCGTTGACATTTTGGAGAAATCCTGTCAAAAAAAATCCATTGTCTATTATCAATAGGTACCTTTCAAATTAATCAGTTGTCTGTTGGTCAGCACCACAACGAATTCAAGTCAGCAACGTAAACCCGTTGCAGAACCTCATTTGTGTTCTCCTTTTGCCCGTGAAATGGTAAATGTGACTGCGCCTTAAGTAACTTTTTAGCAATATACTGTCTAAAATGTAAGTAACTTAATATTAACATTCACTCATTCACATGAATAGGTTAGTTTTTACATTAAAAGAACATGAACATATCAGTCACAATGTGTGTAAGAGCAGGTCTGAGTGTGTGTGGTAGTTCAGGTCTCAGCTGTGTTCTGGTGTTCTGCAGGTTACAACCCAGCGTAAGAGAGTGGAGGAGCTCAGTAAATAGTGAGTAACTGGAAATATAGAAAGCTAAGCATCAGGCTTTGGTCAGCAACAGGGACGTGACAGCATGGTCTGCATGCATGAGACTCTGGTCTCCGTGGCTTCTGGGAAAAAAAGGTCGATTCAGACCACAGGTGAAAGGTCAAATGTAATGTCAGTCCTAAAAAGAGACTCTATGGTTAGAGCCTTCACAACAAGTCGATCTCTTTACCACCACCAGCTAAATCAAACCACTATGCCAACAACCTAGATACTGTCCAGTAGAGATGTGCTTCATGGTTAAAAGAATATCGTATGTAGTGTCATTAAGCATCTGATCTTCCAAGATGTTTTCTCTCTCAGGTAAGTGTGTGTGTGTGATTTTTCAAGCTCAATACCGTCTTGCTGAGAAAGAACACACATGCCTGTGATATGCGCACACAATGCTGCTTTATGCCAGCTCTTAACTTCAGCAAGTCCTGAGCATCAAGCCAGAATGATGTGTGTGTGTTTGTCAGCACTCGATGGTAGAGGACATCTGTCACAATCCAGGATCCTGTGGTTAAGGTATGATCTGGCAGGTTTAAAAACGCTCATGTGTTGTTTTCAGGTCATCTCTCTCAGAAACCGCATTGATGAATTGCAGAAACAGTAAGTAGCTCCTTGCCACCACACACACAAAGCGCACGGATGGACTGACTACTTTACTCTAATATTACTGATTGAATTATCTAATCATGTTCACACCTCATGATAACTCTCAAAGACACTGTCACACACAAGCTGCCAGTCATATTGGATAAAACGCATACTGGCTGCAAGACTTTACAAAACATGTCCTAAAACTAGATATAGGGCTATAGGCTTGAAGCTGTGGTAGGAATGGTAAGTTTTTGGGACATTTTTGTAGCATTGTGACAGAATTACTGAAGCTTGAAGCCCTTTGAGAGTGAGTTTCTCTAGAGAGTTTCTCTTGTCTCCCCTAGTCAACAGCAAACTCTCTCTGCAGTCTCCCCATACAAGCCTCTCTGAGTACGTTTACTTGCATTTGAGTCTCATTTGATTCGGAATAGAGCAATTTTTCATCTTTTTTAAATGTCGAAATCATGCTAGTCCAGTTTTTGTGAAGTTGAACTGCCCAGATAATGTGATTGTCGGTCGTCGTCTTCCAGTGAATTCACAAATCGAACTTCAGTTGGCCTCGGCATTGTGCTCATGCACCAAAAGACAACTGTGACGCATTACTTGCATACAAAAATAGTGTAAAAATAATTATAGTGAACAGTAAACCCAAATAACTACATATGAATTAAAAATTAGGAGCAATATTCATTTCTATCACTTATTTATGGATAGTATCTCACCTAAATGTTTTTGTTACTTAAAGCAAACCAAAAACGTTGGGTCATCGATCTATCTATCTATCCAACTTTCCATCTAATAGGCCTATCTCTATTATAGATTATAGTTTCATCCTTTCAAATCGACACACCCCTTCCAACGTCATAAACTGGTCGTGTAGCTTGATTATAATTGTGTATGTAAACGTACTTGATTTCTGAAAGGATTTACAGACAATGAAAAATAAAGCTCACTCTTTTATCTCTCAACATGCAACACATGGCATAGCCTAAGTGGCACTATGAAGCACTTTGCTATTCCAGATCTGGCTTATTTTTCATTGGTGCCATCAAATCTGAACTGTGATTAATGTGTTTGGTATACATGAGGTAGGCCTAATGAGTGATGTAAATGTGATGTGTATCAGCTGCTGCGGTGATAAACATTTAAGACTAAGACAGGCCTGTTTAATAAACTGACAGAGCTCAGAGAAAGGGCGGTAAGTCCTGCATGGTGTGAACAATATTTCTGTTCAATGTGCATGTCAAATTTTGTGTGGACTCGAGAAGCAGAGAGGAACATCCTGCAGGACCTGACTAAGAACTGGACTGGAAAACAATAGTATTTAAAAGGGCTTTATATTAGAAAAAAGCAGATTCATCACTTATGCCATAGTACGGAGCCCCTAAAAAGGGACCTTTGCAAAAAAATAAAAAATAAATAAAAAATTACAGACTTTCGCGTGCACATGATGAAACTAACTCATGCGCACAAGATAGTTTGATAGTTAAAATCTGTATATTTTTATTTTTTGCAAAGGTCCCTTTAGGCATAGACAACTCCGGTCTTGAAGGGCCTCTGCCCTGCAGAGTTTAGCTTCAGCCCTGATAAAAACTCACCCACCTGTATCTATCTAGGAATCATGAAAACCTCGATTGCCTTGTTCAGGTGTGTTTAATTAGCCTGACTTCGTCATACTCATATTCTAGTCAGAAAATGAGTCTGAAACTGCTCCATAGGGCTTTGACTTTGAGGCGTGTCTTAACCGAACCAGGAAAAAAACAAAAACAAAAAAACTCTGCACTCATTTGAATAGACCTACAACCAATCAAAGCAACGCAGTAAGTGACGTATGTTGAGCTATGCATAGTTGTCAACAGAACTCAACTGCACGCAAGCTGGAAGTAGTAGTAAAATAATGTGTCGATTCTTTTACTTGGTCCTCCATGAGTGAGACCCAGATAGCAGACTGACATTGAATCAACGTGGAAATATGACATCGAAACAACGTTGATCTGACATTGTTTTGCTCATCGAATTAACGTTGAACCAACGTCAGATGCGTCATTCTTTCAAAACTAACGGAAAATCAACTTGAAATCAACGCGTTGTTTCAACGTTATGAAAGCAAACCAATTTTCGATTTCATTTAGCTTTGAAGAATGCCGCGTCTGACGTTGGTTCAACGTTAATTCGATGAGCAAAATCAACGTTGTTTCAATGTCATGAGAGACGTCGTTTCCACGTTGATTCAATGTCAGTTTGCTATCTGGGGAGTGTGCAAAGGAGAAACCACAACGACCACAGGGCTTTCATTTCATCCCATCGTCTTAACGACCATTGACCCAGCTGATAAATTAAACTTTTCCAGAGTCCAGTAGAAAGGACGGCAAACACATTTTTTTTTCGATCAACAAATGCCTTGATTGCAGTTCTTGGTTCGTCTTTTAAAATTAATGCGCTGTCGATTTATTTTACAACAGACGCGACAGGGGAATCTATACATCGCTGCAGTTATCTTTGAGGGAAACCAATTCAACCCAAGCACTCTTTGATAAAGTGATGATTACGTAACTGCAGATCATCTGTCCATCATCGTATAAAGCCCGCCCTGGCAATTTGATTGGTCCGACTAATTCTGAACCGATCATAATTACTCCTCAATGGATTGTGGATCGTTTAGGCGTGGAAGCATAAAGTCAAGAGAGAAGCCCATAGAGAGTCATAAAGTTGATCCTGCTGCTCATAGACAGCTCCTACTCAAGCTCTTAGTCTCTGCGAGATTCGGAAGCGATTGATTCAGATTCCTCTTGGCACAGCTACTAGAAGACTTAAAACTGTCAGACAGGTTGCTCACATCACTTCTACGTCGTCGAGCTCAGTTTGAGCCTGTGCAGTACGCTCAGCCATCAGGAAGTGAGTGCTTCTAATTTACTTCACTTTTCTCTGTTAAAGTCTATGGGATCGCTGTGTTCATTTCTTTTATTGTCTATGGTCCAGATCGAACTTCCCGACCAAAAAATGTTGTTGGCGGGGTTCGGGCTGACATCCAGGCAAGTGCTTAATTAGGGTTGGAGCTAAACTCTGCAGGAAAGTGGCCCTCAAGGACCAAACTTGCCTATCCCAGCTTCAGGGGCTTTGTACGTACGTAGGCCTACTTATAATTTTTTTTTAAAAAACACCTTAGAGCCCTGTCCTGTACGGTGTTTTTCTCAGTGGTCTACCAGCAGGTCAGTAAAGATCAGCACTAACTCGCTCTTTCTTTGTCTGATATTCAGCTCCAAGAAGGGTGCTGCTGCTCGCCGCAGAAAGTAAGCGTTCATGGAGAAACCTACACTTGTGGTCAAGACATGTCTGTTGCCTGCGTCTCCGAGCTATGCCTTCATTCAGCAGGCATCTCTGATCCCATCCACCATTTGCATTTTATCAGAGGCTATCAAAGGCGGTCTACCACCGCCGGTGTGACATTAACACTGTCCGGTCTTAGCGGTAGTTGTAGTAGGATCTTCCCCTCTTAAGACGCTATGTCTTTAGGTTCTCACCTTCCGTTTTTGTAAATAATGTTTGGCTCGCCAGCTTTATCTGTTGCATCTGGCAGTTCAATAAAATATTCTTCAAGACTGATATACTAGAATTTATTGTGTGTCCATTATACTGAGAAACTCTGATGCTGAATCATTGAATCAAACTGAATATGAATCTTCTAAGCCTTCTGACTTAGTTGACATGTTCAAACCATTTCTATGGCAAACGAACAGCTGACTGTTCTGTATTTCCATGCATTTTCATATTTGCGGATTGATAGTAATCAGTAAGATTTCTGATGTCATTTGCCCCCAAAAGATGATTTAATGAGAAATCTAAAAAACAAAAACAAACAAAAAACAGCAGATATACAGTATCTGATGATATTTTACATTAGCCAACATTAGTCAAACATTGAAATTAGTCAAATAATGACAGTAATGTATTAATTAACATGAACTAACAATGAACAATATTGTTACAGTATTTATTAATCTTTGTTAATGTTAGTTAATAAAAATACAGTTGTTCATTATTGGTTCATGTTAGTTCACAGTACATTAATGTTAACAAATACTAATTTTGATTTTAATATTGTATTAGGAAATGCTGAAATTAACAGTAACTCAGATTAATAAGTGCTGTAGACGTATTGTTCATTCTTAGTTCATTAACAAAATTAGTTTCAAAACCTTGTTGTAAAGTGTTAATAAATATCCTAGTACAGAGTTAAATGAGTCATATATATATACACTCACCGGCCACTTTATTAGGTACCCCATGCTAGTAATGGGTTGGACCCCCTTTTGCCTTCAGAACTGCCTCAATTCTTCGTGGCATAGATTCAACAAGGTGCTGGAAGCATTCCTCAGGGAGTTTGGTCCATATTGACATGATGCCATCACACAGTTGCCGCAGATTTGTCGGCTGCACATCCATGATGCGAATCTCCCGTTCCACCACATCCCAAAGATGCTCTATTGGATTGAGATCTGGTGACTGTGGAGGCCCTTTGAGTACAGCGAACTCATTGTCATGTTCAAGAAACCAGTCTGAGATGATTCCAGCTTTATGACATGGCGCATTATCCTGCTGAAAGTAGCCATCAGAAGTTGGGTACATTGTGGTCATAAAGGGATGGACATGGTCAGCAACAATACTCAGGTAGGCTGTGGCGTTGCAGCGATGCTCAATTGGTACCAAGGGGCCCAAAGAGTGCCAAGAAAATATTCCCCACACCACCACCAGCCTGAACCGTTGATACAAGGCAGGATGGATCCATGCTTTCATGTTGTAGACGCCAAATTCTGACCCTACCATCCGAATGTCGCAGCAGAAATCGAGACTCATCAGACCAGGCAACGTTTTTCCAATCTTCTATTGTCCAATTTCGATGAGCTTGTGCAAATTGTAGCCTCAGTTTCCTGTTCTTCGCTGAAAGGAGTGGCACCCGGTGTGGTCTTCTGCTGCTGTAGCCCATCTGCCTCAAAGTTCGACGTACTGTGCGTTCAGAGATGCTCTTCTGCCCACCTTGGTTGTAACGGGTGGTTATTTGAGTCACTGTTGCCCTTCTATCAGCTCGAACCAGTCTGGCCATTCTCCTCTGACCTCTGGCATCAACAAGGCATTTCCGCCCACAGAACTGCCGCTCACTGGATGTTTTTTCTTTTTCGGACCATTCTCTGTAAACCCTAGAGATGGTTGTGCGTGAAAATCCCAGTAGATTAGCAGTTTCTGAAATACTCAGACCAGCCCTTCTGGCACCAACAATCATGCCACGTTCAAAGTCACTCAAATCACCTTTCTTCCCCATACTGATGCTCGGTTTGAACTGCAGGAGATTGTCTTGACCATGTCTACATGCCTAAATGCACTGAGTTGCCGCTATGTGATTGGCTGCTTAGAAATTAAGTGTTAACGAGCAGTTGGACAGGTGTACCTAATAAAGTGGCCGGTGAGTGTACACCATGGGTTATGATGAAGCTTGGAAAATAATGTCATGACAACAGTGATTGGCTGAAATGCCACCACATGAAGGCCAGTAGACAAGAAAAAAATATACGGCCATAATAACCTTCCAGAAAAGAATATTGGCTGCAAAGAGGCATTAGAAGAGTAAATCCCTACTAGCACTGCAGTTCCTCCACAAGAATGAGCCCATTTTCTAAAGATTTTTATTGAAAATGTAAATATACATATAGTATGGTACAAAAAACTAAGCATATTATGAATGTTGCAATTCTTCAGCAGGTACAATGTTAAACCAAGAGCCTAAAGAGGACTCACTCCATAAAATAATTCATTGAGTCTATACAGAGGTATTTATTATGACCGTCCGTTTGCATTTTATAGATGCAACATTGCAATACTGTGGACACAGATATAAAAACAGGAACTTCACATATTCAGTTTAAAGTCAGTACTAAGTATTTCACACACACACACACACAAAAAAAAATCTAAAGCTGTTCTTAAAATGTGCCATAGTGTAGAAAACTAATTGATGTTGAATTCGCAATAATTCATATCAGATCACGAAGATAAAAATGTATTTTGCATCAGCTGAAGTGCTTCATAAATCATAAATCATGTGTAAAAAATCTTGTATTTTGAGTGAAGCAATTGTTCTTATATGGTAATAAATAAATAAAGTGCTCAAAATACAGCATAAGGTCAATTATTCAATAAACATGTGATTGTTATATAACTTGTCAAATCACATTATATTCAGATCATTAAGAAGTAACATTACCTGTAGAAAAGCATCTAAATACAAATATTAAAACTTTATTTTAGCGTTCTCTGTTGTAGAATTCCATATATACAGAACAGGAGCACAAAGCTAGTATCATTACTGTTACTGATTCGCGTGCTTCCACATTACTTACATTTCAAACATGCATCCATGCAGTTTATACCATTTTCTGAAATATTTGAGAATTTTGATAGAACGAATGATATATTCTGAGAAAAAAAGACACTTTACAACACTAGATCTTAATGTTCAAGTTGAATGATAAGTAACACTTTCTGTTATTATGGTTTGGGGTTTATGACCACTGACAGGAACAGTCGGTAGGTTCCTGTATGGTGTAACTGACCCACGTGGAGTTTCCACTGCAGTAGAGTTGGACTGAACGCCGCTGCAGTCCCATCTCTCTGCAGCACTTACAAAAGCGTGCATATGTGTTGATGTTGTAGTTATAAATACTCGCAGACGGACACTTCCCATCACATGACACTATGTTGACCTGTGAACATGACAGACAAAATGTGAGCCCTTTTACAGCCAAACTAGAGACAAATTATAAGAGGTACATTCTGAAATGAACTCACCGGTCTGTTGCTACGGCAATCATTCTTTCTAATCGTCATCCTCACCGTGACTTTCTGACATGATTTCCCATCCTCTTTACCTACAGCATGAGGAGTCAATAAATTACGTTTTTCATCCCGTGTAGAAGTTCTAATTCATTTAATGAAAAATAACTTCTAACCTCCCTATGCAAGCATTTAAAAAAATGCATTTCTGGTAGATTCTCTTTTAATTGTTTGTTATATGCTTGATTTCCTGCTGCTAAGATAATGTGCTTACTGCTTACCATCAGTTTGGGTGGCGAAAAGTTATTGAAAACTGTATTTCTCAGGAAAATTGCTGGTATACCACTTCAAGCGACATTGCTGAACAGATTTGACTCAGGTTACAAAGTAAATAGATAATATTAAAAGATAATATTCTTTCAGTCGAAAAGAAATGAAGGTTTTGATAAAAACATTCCAGGATTTTTCTCCATATAATGCACTTAACTGGCAACCAAACGGTTCAAGGTCCAAAAGACACTTTCAGTGCAAACTGCAAACTGTTCAAAGGGCTTTAAACGACTCCAGACGGTGAATAAGGGTCTTATCAAGCGAAACGATCGCTCATTTAAAAAAAATAGCAAAGTTTAAGTTTTATAAGCTCAAATGGTCGCCTTGCTCTGTTCTGTGACGCACGTTTGTGACTCTCCTGTTCGAACTCGTTCATCAAAATTAACAAATTGACTCGGGAAAAGATTTGTACTAAAACTGTCTTTTGGACCTTGAACCGTTTGGTTACCAGTAAAGCGCATTATATGGAGAACATCCTGGAATGTTTTAATCAAAAACCTTCATTTCTTTTCGACTGAAGAAAGAATAACACGGATATCTTCGATGACATGGGGGTGAGTAAATTATCAGCAGAAGTTTTTTCAAAAGTGAAAAACTCCTTTAAGATAAATTCTAATGGCAGATGGCATCGGTACGTACATATAAAGCTATTATTTTAATCTGGTCCAAGACCACAGCTAACAGCAGGATGATTACATTCATTTTCCAATTCAATAAAAATGTATACTATAGAGAATAAACATATTTTTGGTAGATTCTATAATAAATAAAAATTTACATCCTACAAGTTTAAAGGCTTTATCTTTGCAAGACTGTAACTTGTATACCTGACAGTGGAAATACAATTCTTTCCCCACTTAGCTGATAAATAATCACTATAAAACTACTCATCTACTGAAAATATTAAGATCACATGAATTTGCTTGTACTCAAGATCAATGCTTTTCCACCACCTCAAAAGCAAAAAAGAAAAAAAAAAGATTCAAATGAGCCCCGATACTTGATTTTCCAGTAAAAAGTATAGATCAGTAGTGAGAAGAAGCTGTAATGGTTTGAGTAATGTGGCAAAAAAAGGTGGCAAAACTGTATGTAAAAATTGCTTTGTATTGCTGCTGTTGCCACATCACTCAAAACATTACTAAACACCCCATTACCACAAACTACACATACTATATGATTAGAGGCTACAGCCTAAGAACTCCGAATCATGCAGAGCTACAGAAACTCTCTAACTGGCCACTACCAACAGTACATTGTTGGCAATCAACAATGCACTGCCCGACAGAGCAAAATGGGGAAAGATTTAGCTGCTTCCAAGAAACATATGGGAGAGAAGTAACTAGAAGTATAAATGCCTTCAATGAGCAGTTATGTTCAAATCTGTTGAGAGTCCTGTATTGTTTGAAAAGGGGGAGTACATTGTTGGAATTCAACAATGGTGATGGCGA